GGCCCTGTTCTTAAACTATTTAGCATTAATGTCCAGCATTTACTGTTTATCATCTACAGTTTCGAAACATGTAATGGAGCAGCAGATTGCCTAAACTTAGCGAGTTAGAAGCCAGACTTTGAATCTAGCTGTTTCACAAGATCCGATCACCTTTGAACACCAATGATCAAGGCAGACTAGGCTTGGCTCTGTCCAAAACAAGATACCAGGCTGGGCTCTAATCTGAGAACTAAGAATAGGCTGGAAACCAGTAGAACAAGAACCCCAAGCCATGAGCCTGTCCTGTGTTCTGAATACAGGCCCGGCTCATAATAAAGAACAGGACCAGGCTTGAGCATCTGGCCAAGAACAAAGACCAGGCTCTGGCCAAGAACAAAACCCAGAACCCAAGGCCAGAACAATCTTTGACCAGTTCTTTCGTTCAAACCAAGAAAGAATTGGAAAAACCCTTTTATTTCTTTTAAGCCAAATCAGGGACTCAATGGATAAGTGACTTTTTATCAGCATTATCTATTTGCTTTTTTTAAATTCTTATAAAATATTTGATGGAAAGTTAACTACCAATGTTGAGATTAGAATTCAACGATACACACACTACACTCGAAACAGGGCTTAAAACCTACTTCTTGCTTATCTATAATCCCAAAATAGTTTTGACAATGAACAGGTTTGGAATTACGTTTTGATCTAAGGATTGTATATAAACTTACTGAATACTATAGTGAATAAAAATTAGTCTTTACGAGGACTGTTTCCTCTTGAATCTTTTACCCGGGCGGAGTGCTTTCTCCTTGGTGATATCTGCTTTTGACTGATTAGCTTACCTTAATAATATCTGATCACAATCGATAAACTTCTTCCCCAGATTCGTGTCTAATTTTAGCAACTAATCAACTTAGCAAAGAAGTGTATTTCCTTTTAATGGAAACGAAAAATAGAAAGGAAATTCTGGCAGCAAAGACTTAAAATAGAGGAAACAGCGTTAAAGATATTCATACTAATGAACTAAATGCCTTGTAACCAAAAAGTGGCAATACAAAAAAGTTTGTTTCACAAATTCACAATTCATTCTAGGCATTGATTTTGATTTTGATTCTAAATTTAATCTTGGTATCGAATAGTCGGACACACAAGATCTTGCCGTAAATACTATAATAGTACCCCACCCCATAATGACGGTGCGGCATGTTGCGTAAGTCTAGCTTCGAACGAGTTTTCTCGAGACCGGTTTATGCTACAATGCGCGAGTAGTTATCAAAAAATAGCTGAAATTCAGAGCTATTTTTGATACCAAAGACGCATTTTTGGAAAGTACGGGCGCTTTGAAAAAAATAAAATACTAAAAAAACTGCGACTACACGACTGTACGGGGGTGGGGTACTATTACAGTATTTACGGTAGGTGAATTTTGAGTAGATTTCTGTCCAAAACACACCCAAAGCACACTCAACTCTTTTCATTTGCCTTACTCAAAAATTGTTGATCTGATCTAAAGCTTGATCTAAAGCTGACCAGTTTGAGCTAAAGCTTTCCTACTGTACTAATATTTAGCAGTCAGTTCTTGTTCTAATGCCAATATTCTCAATTTTCTTTGAGTTAATGTCGAATCTCCGAGAAAACTCATTAAAACTCCTCACTCAATACGACGTTTTTGCGACACTCATCGATATTTTGAAGGTAAATCTTCTGACAATCTTCTCACAATGAAATTCCTTCATTTTCTCAGTACTCACCCCAATCGAATTACACTGATTTCTCGTTTATTCCAATGGACGAATCGAAAATCAACAATGGCACCCTCAATTCTGCGTCCACTTGGCCCTTTCTCACATCGAAATTGTCGAAATGTGCCCGTTGATGCATCGTATTGTTTATGTGAATATCGAAAGGAGAAAATTGAGTCTGTTTTTGGTGGTTTTTTGAAATCTAATAACTATCTAGAGATGAAGAACTTGGTCATAGAATGGCACAATTTGTGATCGATGAGATCAACGAGATTTTCGTTGAGTTTAATGTGACAAAACTTTGCACGCCGTTGACGTTGGAGAAAGTTGAAAAGGGTTTCTGAATTAATGCAGAAAATTTGTAGTTAATTTCTTTGAATGCTTTGCACCAGTGGAGAAAACGAGAATATATGAGATCTCGGTGAAGGCAGCGCCTAGTGGAGGGAAATTTAGTACGGTAAGTGTAGAATTCTAAGAAACAAGGGTTTACAGGGAGTCAGCTCCGGATCAGAAGTCAGTTTACTAAGTCTTGTAAGGCCAAGGGAATGATAATCTCTTATTAGAAAGTCTTTTCGTTAAGCTACAACTAGAAGAAGCAATTAGGATCTTTGGATCAGGATCAGATCAAAAGCAAGTGCAAATAGATGTGATACCCAATTGCAGGGTTGCAACCCAATCCCCAAGCCAGGCCGCTTCAGGGCTGGATTCTAGGACCCAGAATCTGGGTTCCAGATCCAGGCCTAGCTGCAGGCAAGTTGTGTTATTGTTCGTGTCCTGTCAGAAAAGCCAGGCCTGTCAGAAAGCAACTTAAACCTGGCTTCTGGCATAGTTTCTGATCCTGAAAAAACTAGAAGAACAGTTTTAATCAAAATCAAAAATCTCAAAGCTTGTAAAACTTGCAAAACTTGAAATCAATTGCTTAGTCTAGGTGCTGAAGCTTGTGAACAACGGTGATCTCCAGAGAAACGGTGACATTCTCCGATTGAACTCTTATAAAAAAGCGGGTGATTGTGTGGCGAGTTCATTGCCAGATTTGAGGCCATTGTGTTATTGCAGAGAACAAAAAATGGAGAAATCTGTTAGAAGAAAAAGTCGGAAATGATTTCAGTTCAGATTTCACTTGATTTCCGTTCATTTCATTCGTCTCGAGTCATGCGCTTTCTAAAACATTTTCCCTTTCTACCGTAATCTTGTCTCTATTTTTTTATCCAATTTACTTTTGGTTTGATTTTGGTTCAGAAAGATATCGAAAGACGAGTCAAAAACGTTTTATTGGGTTGGTGGATTGAAAACTGCGGGACTTTGAACTAAAACCTCTAATTTATTGATTATTATTTCTATTTATTATACTTTTATTTCTAATTCATTGAGCAATTTAAAACTAGAATTTTTTTTATTTGGTTCGTGAATTGAAAACTGCGGGACTTTGAACTAAAATTTATTCAACATAAAACCATCAATTCATTCCAAATAATTTCCATTATTATTGACGACTTCTGCCTATTTTACAGCCAATTTGCGGATTCCTCTTTCGTAGTAGGATTTTGTTTTGTGTGTGAGACAAGTGTGAGACTCAAAAATCGAGGACTGGAGATGTCCCAGTTTGAGCATTTGAGCACTTTCTTCAGAAGAAACCCATTTTGGTGTCAATAGAAAAGTTGTAGAGAACCAAAAATTAGGCTTATAGCCAAATTTCCAAAAAGGTACACTTAGTAGTTTCGCTTAAAATGAAAGTTTTGTGAAAATTCGTAAATTTGGCATTTCTTGAAAACCAGTTTTTGAATCGTTCTGAAAATTTGGATATAAGCTTGATTTTTGATTCTCTACAACTTTTCCATTGACACCAAAATGGGTTCCTTTTGAAGAAAGTGCTCAAACTGTCACATATGACAATAACCGGTAGTTTAAAAATTCACCAACTAGATTGAGATTAGCCTTGATTTGCGGAGAAGTCAATGTCGAATTTGAGGATTTGGAAACGGTCAGAAGAGATTGGAGAGTAGAGAGGGAAGGGGGTTATGTAAAAGCCCTGCGTCAGACGACGAGCGATTAGCAGCCGCACAAAGAACACACAGAACCCAAATTTTAAGCGAAACTACTAAGTGTATCTTTTTGGAAATTTGGATATAAGCTTGATTTTTGATTCTCTACAACTTTTCCATTGACACCAAAATGGGTTTCTTTTGAAGAAAGTGCTCAAACTGTCACATATGACAATAGCCCGCAGTTTTCAATTCACCAACCCAATAGAAAACGGATTTGATTGTTTTGTTTATGTTAAATAAAATTTTTCTTTGGTGCTATTGTTGTTTTTGAAATAAATCTTTATTATTGAGACTTTTTATAGAAAAAAAACTTAAACCACACGCTTTTGTAAGAACTTTTTCTAACAATTACAATTGCTTTTTGGCATTTTATTGGTTATCTGTCGTTTCTGTCTACTGATTTCTCGATAATTGAATTTCCTAAGCTTTTTTTAGCTTACTTACTTACAGAAAGTGTTTCATCACTTACGTTAGACCCATTCTAGAGTATGCATCTATAGTTTGGTCTCCACAAACACAAGTTGATATCTCTCGCCTAGAAAAAAAACCAGCAGTAATATACTATTAGGTTAATGCAAAAGTCTTTTTCATTTTTTTCGTACTTCCGTTAAAAAGTAACAAATGCACCAATTGAACAACGGTTTATTGCATTCGAAAGGCCAATTATTTTTCTGCAAAATGACATTAAAACGCGTTTAAAATGTCTTATGTCTAGATTTTTTTGAGAGCCTGAAATCGGGTAGTCAAAAAAGGCGACGGCTCGATGATGCATTTTAGACGCTTTAGCTAAGGAAACCAATCTTGATGTTAATAAATAAAAGATAGAGCACAAAAAGTTAAATATTTTTTCAGATTTTCAGAGAAATTGATTCAGCCAATTTCTTTATAGAGGTTTTTATAGATTTTTATGAAAAACCCGTTTTCACTCTCGAATTTGCTTGAAAGTGAACCCAAATTGACTTAAAAAGATGGGAAATTGGACAATAAACACTTTTCATTTAGAGCAAACCATAGGTTAATTGATGACTTTGTTATTTTTCAAAAGAAGTACGAAAAAAATGAAAAAGACTTTTGCATCAACCTAATAAGATAGCTCTATGGAAAATAGATTTTTCCAAATTTGCATACTTTAGTTATACAGATAGACTCAAAATTTTTGATCTTAAATCTCTTAGACACCGCCGCTTGGTCACGGATTTAATAGAATGTTTCAAAATTGTAAAGGGCAGGCAACCTATCCCTCTTTTTCGAGATTTATTCAAAGTTAATCCCATGGTTAGTTCAAGGAGAGGTTCTTTCGTTAGAAATTCTTGGCTTTAGAAATTCCACTCACCTCCAATAAGTTTGTTTATAACTCTTTTCCAATAAGAACTGAATTGGATTTGGAATAGACTCCCCAGAGTTTTGAGAGAGTCCAATAGTTTCGAAACCTTTAAATTATCTGTAGATGATCTTGATCTTGAAGCTCTAGTGGATCCTTGACGTTATCTGTGCTACCCACATTTTACATATATTATATCGTGTTTCTTTTTATCGGCCCTTCTCGTGTTATGTGTATGAATTCATGTGTTTTAATCTTAAATCTAGCGCACTTTATCTCAGGTCCTGAATAAAGTATCTATATATATACTAAATCAATTAACTAAATCTTTAATCTTATTTTTTCTGAAGTTCTTATATCTTTAGCTGAATTGAACTGATTCTTCACAAATCTGCGATTCTTCGCCATTTCCCTTGTGTCAATTGTTGTCCCACGTAGTCCCGCCCACAGCTGACCAATAATTTCCTTTCTACCAATAATTCCAATAACTCTTGAGCCCTTATCGACTTTATTTTTAATTTATAATATTTATTTGATAATTTAGATGATTTAGATGTTAAAATCTCCATTACAATTGGAATTTCCACTTCATTGGGCAATTTTCACGAACAATTTGAATGAATTGAAGAGTTTGTTGGAGGAAGATGCTGAGGTTTTCAAATTTTATAAAAACTGAATGGCTTTATTGTTCTAATGAGCTTAAAACCTTCAAAATCTGATCTTGATCAAGAAAAGATATCAAAAAGAAGTCAGTCAATCTTTAGTCAATCAAATTTAAATGTTTGTGCTTGTTTTTGAAGCTTTAAAACTGCAAACTTCATAAAATGCAATGAAAAAGCCCTAATATTGTCAATTTTTTACTGATAAATGATGAAAATCGAGTGAAATTGATTTCCAGATCGATCTGGAGAAGCAGGATTGCCGGGGCAGAACTCCGTTAATGTTGGCGATCACGTTGGCGCACAAGGATTGCGCAAAGGAGTTGTTGAGGAGAGGAGCCGACGCCGATGCACAGAATAAAGGTTTTTTTATGTTCTGAAGATAAAAAAGTTCTGAAGATAGCTGAATTAGAAAAAAAAACACTTGTCGCCGTATTTTTTCTAAAAATCTTCAATCAATATCTCGATTTGAGGCATGTGGTCGGTGAGTCACGAGGCGATTTCACACGGCGATCCGGAAATGATACGAGCAGTGATTAAGCATCGAGATTTTCAAAGAAACGTGAAATGTTTGACCTCGATTCGAAATATTCTGCAAAAGTTGAAGGTAATGAAATGAATGAAATGAAAAGAATGCTTAAAAACAGTAAAGCTTTCAGTGATTTCAAAGAATTTTCGTTGAAATCGAGAAAAGAAAACAGTAAACAGAAAACAGAAAACAGTAAACAGTCTTAGTAAACAAGCCCACTGTAAGGATATTAGAATATCGGAATCTAGATATTGGAACTTTACTGTACCTTTAAGTGTTTCTAAAGGATTGTGGGACATTTGATCATTGAGCGCAGCGCAAGAAGCAATGAGAGCCGGCCGGGCATTCAATGTCACATAGATCCTAGAATTGGATAATCAGTTGGAATTTTACTTGAGAAACTTCAACAAGGCTACTATATATCTTGTGATCACGGTGAGACAATGAGACCTTGCCACGTACCAGATTCAAGGCTATTCTACAGTCAATGTCAGACTAGGCCAGGTGGTTCAGAGCAGGGCAAGCCTTCCGCCCTTGCCTGGTCTGCCCTTAACTTAGTTTCCAGGACCTAGATGAGACTACAATATGCCACTATATGATCGTTTGAGATTGTAGGACATTCGATACGCGCCCCACCCCTTTTGCCATTGGTAATCTAACTTTGAGCTCAAATATCTTGGCGTTGGGCTGTCTAATTGAAACAGCTTTTGTACCAATCGACAGAGAAAGACTTGACGCATCTAATGATACTAAGAATCTTTAAATTGGACAGTAGAACACCAAGATATTTGAGCTTAAAGTTAGATTGGCAAAAGGGGCGGAGCCAGAAAGACCTTTTATACGCGCCCCGGCCCCCTCTCATTGGTAATCTAACTTTGAGCTCAAATATCTTGGTGTTGGGCGGTTCAATTGATACAGTTTTTGTAGCAATCGACAGAGATTGGCCAAAGATTACCGTACTGTTTCTCAAGTTTTTAGCCTTTCTGTTGATTGCGGGACATTTGATACGTGACTAGTCGGCACTTTATATCAAAACTATATTAAAACTATATCAAAACTATATTAAAAATATATCAAAACTGACCTATAACTTCTACAATAATGCATAAAGCTACAATAATGCATTAACAGAACTTTCAAATCTTCAAATTCCAGGAAACTCCGGATTTCTATGTGGAGATGAACTGGGAGTTCTCCTCATGGGTGCCATTTGTGAGTCGACTGTGCCCATCCGATACGTACAAGGCAGGTTTTTGAACTTTTTCTGATAAAACTTTCAAGTTTAACATTTGAAACTTAACACTTTAAGCTAGTTTTAGCTTTTTCCCTGATCTTTTAACCAAAAAACTCAGCCTTTTTTCGTGATCTTTTGAATTTGATGCCTTTCTCCCGTTTTCACTGTCTTTTCCCCTTCATCAAGAGCTGATCTAATGTAAATTGACAGCTAGATTAGGGTAGTTTACTTAAAATTGATCTAACATATCAAACCCATTGAGTAAAATGAACACAATCTAGCCACCGCTATAGCAACTTCGCTTCAGACAAAAAGAAAGTTTTTGAAAAACAAAACAATAGAAATAGCTAATCTTTCATACAAAAAGGTGTGAAGAAGGCCGATTTATGAATTTCCAATTCAATTTATCGATTTTTGATGAATCTTTTTATCTTTTTATTGAAAATTATTATATTATAGAAGAAGGTGTCTTTGATAGCCTGAGCCGTCAAAAGCTTTCTTTTGTCTGAAGTTTGTCTGAAGCATAGTTGTCTGATTGTTTGAAGCGTAGTTGTTATAGCGGTGGCTAGATTGTGTTCATTTTATTCGCTCTCATAAAACGAACTTTTTTGACAAAACAAACCATTAAACTGACTTTTTTAGTCAAAAGACAATAAAACATTCAAAAGATTACTCTTCAGGGAAAGAACCCTAGTTCTTACTAAAGCTTTTTATTAGACAATGAACAAAAACGGCAAGTATTAACTGTTCAGAAAGAACTTGAACTTTAATTCATCCACTGAATTCCTTATAGCTTTTGCAAAAGTTATATATTCCAATTTATATCATTAAAATTTATGGAAGAAAAAGGATTCAAAGAGTTTCGAAAATTAAAGCTCATTTTTTGTCTAAACATTGTTTAACGCTTGCTTGAGTCGTTAATCAAAATCAAAAATCAAGCTTATATCCAAATTTTCCAAGCTATTCAAAAACTGGTTTTCAAGAAATGACAAATTTACGAATTTTCACAAAACTTGCAACAAAACTTTCATTTTAAGCGAAATACTAAGTGAATCTTTCTGGAAATTTGGCTATAAGCCTAATTTTTGATCCTCTATAACTTTTCTATTGACACCAAAATGGATTTCTTTTGAAGAAAGTGCTCAAATGCTCAAACTGGGACATCTCCAGTCCTCGATTTTTGAGTCTCACACTTGTCTCACACACAAACCAAGCTCCTACTACGAAAGAGGAATCCGCAAATTGGCTGTAAAATGGGCAGAAGTCGGCAATAATAATGGAAATTATTTGGAATGAATTGATGGTTTTATGTTGAAGAAATTTTAGTTCAAAGTCCGGCATTTTTCAATTCACCAAGCCAATAAAAAAATTCTAGTTTTAAATTGCTCAATGAATTAGAAATAAAAGTATAATAAATAGAAATAATAATAATAAATAAATTAGAGGTTTTTTTCAGATCTACAAAAGTGGGGAATCGGTTCGAATCGATACAACTTTAGTCGGCTTTGAGGGATCGTCGTGGAAACGCGGCAATCAGACATACCTTTTCAAGTATGACAAATTAAAATTGAACATTTCTTTTTAGCTAAAACAATTGCTTATTTAGGAATAGAGCTTGAATAGAGCTAGATTTCTATTTCGAACTTTAGATTCTCCGAAGCGAATCTCCCTCAATTGATCATCATGGATCACATTGAGAAATCGGTGAGAAATTTATCAATTTCAATTATTGAAAACAATTTTTTACTTGAAATTTACCTTTTTGATTAATCTAAGCCTGTAAATTAGCCAAAAGCACAATCCAAAAGCTAAGTTTTTTAAAAAACTAAATCCATTTCAGGCGACCGTGCAAACGATTACAGAAAGTGATCGCTTAGACGATTTCGAGCCACCCGAAGAGGCGATCACGTTCAGGTAAAGTTAAAGGTTTCATTTTTATCAAAATTAAAACCTTCTATCATTTTGAATTATTTATTTTCCTCAACAAGCTGATAAGCTCAACAAGCTCAACCTCACGGTGGCTTTTATCAGCGGCTCAACCTTGGTTTATCACCCAAGGCCTTCTATCCAGCCCAACGTTGGTGTGTATCAATAAAAAAACTTTAAAGGGAAAGAACTCCCCCCAAGAGTCGAACCCGGGCCGCTCACTCGGGCGACGTCCTTACGGACCGGCGCGCTAGCCACTCGGCCATGCCGTCCTATTCATAACGTGAGTCGGGCGAGCTAATAACTGCTCGGGCCGAAAAAAGGGCGCAGTGCAGCCGCGATTTTAACAGAATATCTAAGGGAAAGCGACGAAAAACCGGCTGAGCCAAATAAAAAATGGGAAAAGAAAAAAAGACTGGGATTTGGTTGTATTTTGGTGTAGTTTCTGGTGTAGTTTCTGGTGTAGTTTCTGGTGTTGAGAGTCATTTCCTCCAGGTCCACCAAAAGTGTCGGCATTTTTTTAAGATATACATTGATGATTATGATTTCATCAATACGATTTTAGCATAAATTTCTAAAAAACTAGCTAGGAAAACTTAAAATTATGTTTGCTCGCCAAACTCTGCGAGTTTTTACTCGCTATAAACATAATATCATTTTTCTCATAAGCTTTTCCGATATAATGGTATTGTCCACTAATTTTGAGGTTGGACAATTTATTCAAAAACTAGTGTAAGCCATCGTAGCGGCTATAAACTAAATTACGTCATTGAAAATTGTCCAGTCCAGAATGAAAATTTTTCCTTTTAAACACGATTAAACACGAATTAGCTATTGGCGGGTTACGGTAAACAGCTTATAAGAAAAATACCATTTAGAATGAGCGAACCGATCTCCACCACCTACATCGATGTGGAAAAGATCAGCTTTGAGCGATCAAAGAGTGGTGGATTCTTCTCGTGGATCACTTCAACGGAAAGGGCAGAGGAAATTGATGGACACGAGTGTAAAGTGAGGATTTAAATAGGGAAAATTCGGAAATGCTTTTCATTTTTCGAAATCCTTTAGACATTCAACGCGTCAAATGTGGATCTGGTGACAAAGCAGAGGGTCGAGCATTTGTCCGATGAGGATAAAGCTCGTTTTAAACAGGTTAGCTAAAGGGTTTAAAGAAATACATTGCTTCACACGAAGAATGTGGTACAAACAATACACAAGCACAACGCTTAAGCCGTAAATATAAGGAAGAAAAAATATAGACAATATTATTGGTTCTTTTTCACATAAATCTGGAAAAAAAGGAACCGATCGCGGGATTGAACCCTCGACCTCCCGGCTAGGATAACAAAGGTTGATTGATTGATCATTTATCTTTTCACCAGCACATGACACTCCGTTAAAACCAAACCTAACTTGCAAGCTTGCTAACTTGCACACAGGCGTCGAATCTGACTTCAGATTCGGCATCAGTTTAGTCGAAAGCCCTCGGGTATCAGTTTCCAGCCCGAAACCCATTTTTGCCAGCCGACCATGACGCCTGAATAGCTGGTACTTAATTGAGGGCTGTGTGTCCGTCGATCCATCCGGATTAAGGACTATCTATTGGTCTGTCCGTCCGTCAGTGTCCGTTTTCGAGATGTGGAAGAACAGGTTTGGCTGAGGGGATAAGACGCCGTTCTCCAGAGCCGGCAGTCGTGTCCAAAAATGGATTTCGGGCTGGAAACTGATACCCGAGGGCTTTCGACTAAACTGATGCCGAATCTGAAGTCAGATTCCACGCCTGTGTGCAAGTTAGCAAACTTGCAAGTTAGGTTTGGTTTTAACGGAGTGTCATGTGCTGGTGAAAAGATAAATGATCAATCAATCAACATTTGTTAACGTTTAAAATAAGAAATAAAAGAGATTAAGAGAAAAAAATATTATACCAATTGAGCCCGGAACGCCGAATATCCTCTAAAGCCGTTGCTGATCGGCATTCACCTTGAAATATTGATTCTAACATCAAAATTCAATGGATTTATCAAAGTTCTAACATTTTAAACTTGTTTGCTTTGAAGTTATCATTGATTTTTAAAAATCTGAACGATTTAAAATCGACTCAGGAATCTGAGTCGCATCCCCTGTCATCTGTGCTTAAAATGGTGCGGAGTGAGATCACAGAAGTTTCCCCGAACACCGCTGATTCGCTAGGTATTTTTTTTTAAATTTAGCTACAGTAAACTACAATAAACTAGCTTTAGATCAAGAAAAACCATCAAATTCCAGGTGGAATCACACCGGCCGAGTACCTCGACAAGGATTTTGAGCTCAATTGTGATATTGGTGAGTGATTGATTGGCATTAGAGCTTTTAAGGTTTAATATTAACTCGATTGGAGCCAAAACCGAGTTTACATAAATCAATCTTAAGTTATTAATTGTTGATAAATTTTACGAAAGTTTACTAATTTTAAATCTGAATTTCGATAACTAAACTGAGTTTGAGAAATTCCCGTTTAAAAACTAAATTTTCCCGTTTACCCGAAATCCTTTTTGACCGTTACTTCTGGGTTGAGATTTTTCAAATCTGATTTGACAGATGTAGTCGCTGTAAACCTGTAGCTGTACAGCTGTAGTCGCTGTAAACTTGTAGCTGTACAGCTGTAGTCGTTGTAAACCTGTAGTTGTACAGCTGTAGTCGCTGTAAACCTGTAGCTGTAGAGCTGTAGTCGCTGTAAACCTGTAGCTGTAGAGCTGTACAGCTGTAAACCGCTGTAGTCGATTACAGATTAAAAATAGATTTATTGACACGAATAATGTGGTACAAACAATATACAAGCACAACCCTTAATCCCTAAATGTAGAGAAGCTAAAAAACCCAATATAGATGAGATAAAGAACCAATAATCCAGCCGGCGGCATTGAACCTTTGACCTCCCGACTAACTAGGGAATGTTGTCAAGTTAAGATGAACTTTTTGAACGAGACCAATCCTATCTAATAGAGTTTTTTACGCTGATTCTGAATCCGGCTTTAACTTTTCCGGAAGAGCTCTGTAATGCGAGATCTTTAGCGTAGAAGATTTGGGACTCGAGTTAGGAAGTGAAAAGAAGCTGAAGAAATGGAAGAAATGGAAGAAATGGAAGCTACAAAAATACACAAACTTTGCGTCTTATAATAAGTAAAGATAAATCTTTAAAGATTGAATAGCAAAGCTTTAAATACTTTTTGAAATAAATCCAAATTCCAGGCCGAGCCAAGGAGATCTCCCGTAAATCGAACACTTTCAAAGCGACTTTATGGTTGGCTGAGGAGTACCCACTTCAGCTACAAGTAAGTTAGTGAAACTTAGTAGTAAATAGTAGCTAATTGTAATGCAAATTGTGATGTAGATTGTAACTAGTAAATATGCTGTACTATCTACTTTTTTATTATACTTTATAACTACCATTTTCAACATTTCAAAGAAAATATTATTTAAACCGCCGTTTACCGTTGAGTTTGGCTAAAAATGTGATCAAATCGAAATTTGAAACAATTAAAGTACTCAGTTAATCAATTAATAACGAATATTTTATTGTTTATTTGTCAAGGAACAAATAATTCCGATTGTTTTAGGAACAAATAATTCCGATTGTCGATCTGATGGCCTCGAATAGTGCCCACTTTGCGCGACTCAACAACTTCATCCGTTTACAGCTTCCCGCTGGGTTTCCCGTTAAAATCGAGATTCCCCTATTCCATGTGGTTTGTGGATAGATTTGAATACTTTATATACTTTATACCACAATAGGCACCTCTTGACAATTGCTACTTAAAATTGCTACTTTTCTAAGAGATGTTTAAGTTAAACGGCTTAAACTCGACTTAAACTCGACCTGATCGTCAAGCTTTGATGGCCTATAACTTTGTCCAGAGATCATATTTTTGTTAACTTTTTATATCATTGTACAGATGACATTTCAGGCTTTCAAATGATACCAAATAGAGCTTGATTGGAGAATTTAGTCTAACTTTTTAGTTAGTTTTAATTTAGTCCAAAATCTGAGCCAGCTCTGAGCAAATGAGGCCTATCCAACTCGGGTGTCGTTTCACCTTGTTTGCATGGGAATGGAAAATCCAGTCAAGCTCTATTTGGTATCATTTGAAAGCCTGAAATGACCTCTGTACAATGATAAAAAAAGTTAACAAAAATAAGATCTCTGGACAAAGTTATAGACCATCAAAGCGTGACGATCCGTTCAAAATACTCGAAAACTAAGCAAGAGCCGAAGTTTACATTATGTAAACAATAATTTGCCTTACATTAAACGGTCGATTGAAATGTTGGATATTTTCTTCTTTCTGCAAAGAGTCAACGAAACGATTGATAATTTCTTGACTAAATTTCTTGAATTGACAGATTTTCTTTGACTAAATTCTCCAGTCAAGCTCTATTTGGTATTATTTGAAAGCCTGAAATGTCCAGATTTTGCTAGATCGCTAAAATTGACTAGTTTTACAGCTTACAGTTTTACAGCTTACAGTTTTACGGCTTACAGTTTTACTCGCCCACTTTTCTGCTCGATTTATTAAATGACTGTTTTTAGGTGAGTGCAAAGATCACTTTTGGCAATATTAACAAGCCGGGTCGCTTCGTGACACCGATTGATGAGGTTTGTTTTAGATGAAACAGCAATGCTTGACTACTGATGATTTTTGTTGAAACTTAATAGGAAATAGGAACTATAAAGGAACTATAAAGGAACTTTAAGGGAACCAAATAGGAACTATAAAGGAACTATAAAGTCATTGATAAGAACATATCAATTTTCAGCCATCGGTGAATGGGATAATGCCAGTGACAATTGATGATCAATGCTTTGAGATTCCATCCAATTACAGCTCTTTCGACGAGCTTTCAGCGGCAAATTGGTGGGATGCGAACAATGACCCAACTTCGCCACCGTCAGGGCATCGTCATCATTGTCAGTTTACAAGAGAATGGGGAACTTTACAAGAGACTTTACAAGAGAATGGGAAAAGTGTTGTAACTTTGCAAGCATGTAAACAATGATAGATTTGGCTGCACTTGAAAGCTTCAAAATTGGAAGCTTCAAAGTTGGAAGCTTCAAAGTTCGACTTCAAAGTTCGACTGTAATCTGTTTAGACTCGGCCGAGCAACAAGAAGAAATGCTTCTTCAATTGGCTATCCAACAGAGTCTCCAAGACAATTCGACGAATCGAGGAGAGGATGAACAACAGCAAGGCAATGGAAATCTCATGATGAGTGCGTAGTTGAAAGACGAAGATTTGATGCTACAAAGATTTGATTAAATCACAAGTTGATGGCTACAAGTTTGAAACTCAGGTGTCGCTCCGCAGGGTTGGTTTGAGGCTCCACAAGAAACTTCATGGAGCCCGGCGGCCGATCGAGAGGCTCAAGAATTGGCAATCGCCATACAGGTTAGGAAGTGGAAAAAACAGAAAAATCAAGGCTTTAAAGAACAAAATTCAATATACAAGAATCAGAAAGAGTATAGATTTTCAAAATTTAAGAACACGTGCTTTCAGGAGAGCCTCCGATTCGCGAATAACCCAAACGCAGCAAATGAGGAGCCACCAGCGTATCTTCCCGTCTTGCCGATTGCTAATCTTGAGGTGAGATTTTAAAATATAAACAAATAGCAGTTGATTTTCGATCCGGATTTGGATCCGGATTTGGATTTGGATTTGGATTTGGATTCGGATCCGGATTCGGATTCGGATCTAGATTCGGATCTGGATTCGGATTGGGATCCGGATTTGGATTCGGATTTGGATTCGGATTGGGATTCGGATTGGGATCCGGATTTGGATTCGGATTTGGATTCGGACCTGGATTCGGATCTGGATTCGGATCTAGATTCGGATTCAGATCTGGATTCGGATCTGGATTCGCATTCGGAACCGGATTCGGATTCGGATCTGGATTCGGATTCGGATTCAGATCTGGATTCGGATCTGGATTCGCATTCGGATCCGGATTCGGATCTAGATTCGGATCTAGATTCGGATCTAGATTCGGATCTAGATTCGGATCTAGATTCGGATCTAGATTCGGATCTAGATTCGGATTCAGATCCCGTTTCAGATCCGGATCAAATATCATAAGATCATCATCAATTGTTTCAAATCTCAAACTTTTTAGGACGACTTATCGATGGCTCTCCGTTTATCCCAAGTCGAAGAGGAGCAACGACGTCAAGCTGCCGTCAGCGAGGAAGAGGAATTGGCGCGGATCCTTGAACTCTCTAAACAGGATCATTAAGCTTGAGCCTTTAATCTTGAGATCTTGAGTCCAAATCTCTTCAGTTATTTAATCGCCAGCCTTTCCTTGCTCATTGCCTACTTCTGTTGAACACTTTTTTGAACTTCTTCTTCGTGGTATACTTTGTGTGAAATGGCCGCCTTCTAGCGCACTGAATTCTTCGTTTTCTTGCGTTGCGTTGAGAATAGTGAAGCTTTTAGCTTGCCAGAAAGGGGTGAGTTTTGAGCACAAAGTACATGCACCCAATTTTCCCGAACACTTCAATTTCTTTACCCTATCAAAAATTAGCTGTGATTGCGATTTTATGGATTCGATCTGGTCAAATAAAAAACTGTTCATCATAATATTGTGTATTTCTGTTTAGATAAAGTTTTTATTTTTATGATTTGTAGAATTTACAGCATGAAATCGACTTTCACAAAGCAAAAGAGAGATCTCTATGTAAGGTGTTCTTTGTACGGTCGCGTAATCGCTCTGCATCTGGCATAACTTATGCTTAATATCATTTAAAAGGTTGAAAGGTCTTTTTTTATATAAAAGTTAACAATAAAATTATCTTTACACGAAGTTAAAAGCGTTAAAAAATCAAAAAATTCAAAAATCGCCGGGATCGATTACAAAAACCTTAATTTCTTGTAAATTCTAGAATTGCAAAAGAAATAAAAGTCAGAGTTTTCTCGTCTTTTCTTCTTTTTACGGTAGGTTATTGTAAATATCTTCTGTAAACTTTCAACTTTCAGTTTCACTTTTGCCAAGCTCAAATTGATTCGGAATCAGCGTAAAAAAAACTCTATCAGATCGGCTTGGTCTTGTCCCAAAAGCCCACAAAAAGGGATCGATTCCAAAACACACTTAACCTTAACTTGCCAACATTCCCTAGTGAGATCCAGAGTGCTTAGCCAGTCGACTATTGTAATCATCTTCTGTAAACTTTCAATCAGGTTTCACTTTTGCCGAGCTCAAATTGATTCGGGAGCAGCTTAAAAAACTCTATTAGATCGGCTTGGTCTCGTTCAAAAAGCTCATCTTAACTTGCCTTAACAATCAAATAACAATCAAAAAGCCCACCTTAACTGCCTAGTAAGATAGGCGCTTAGCCAGTCGACTATTGTAATCAACTTCTGTAAACTTTCAATCAGGTTTCACTTTTGCCCAGCTCAAATTGATCAGTTGTCTTACAATCAAAAATTTGATCTCATTAAAATAATCTTTTGGTGGTAAACTATTCTTTTTTCGTTTCTCAGAGCCTTTTGTTTGTCGCTTTTTCAACAAAAAAGCCCTTTTGTTTTAAAATTTGACAAAAAGAGGTCGTCGTCGTCGTCGTCGTCGTTAAACGTCATCGTTTATTCTTTTTAAAATGCAAAGTGTTCTATTCTTAACTGAAAATAGTTTAAAAGAATCTTTTTTTTCTTTTCTTTAGCTTACTATTCGATTGAAATTTTTAATGCAGATGATTGCTGAGTTTCGAACTTTCAAATATCTTCTTTCAAACTCCAAAAATCCGTTCTCAACAAAAGCTGAGTGTCTGTGAAATCTTTGGGCGTTTGGTGAATTTTAAAGAACACTCCGCAGCCTAGCAACTTGACTATTGGGTTTAAGATCTGATTTTTTTTTGGGAATTCTTAGGATTATGCCTTTAAATTTGAATCACCGTAATCAAACAATCCGTTTTCCAAATAATCCGTTTTCTAAAACGTTCCCTTTCTCTTTCTACCGTAGCCTTGTCTCTATTCTTTTATCTAATCAATCCTCTTTTTGTGCTTTAGACTTTTTGTAGCTTTTTCTAGCTTTTGTAGCTTTTTGTAGCTTTTTGTAGCTTTCAATATCGATGTAGCTTTGTAGCTTTCGATATTCTTTGTGAACTCTCAGAGAATCAAGTCAATTAGTAGATTCATTAGACAAAAATAGAGACAAGTTTACGGTAGAAAGGGAAAATGTTTTAGAAACATAAACAAAACACTCAAATCCATTTTCTAAAACATTTTTGACTCGTCTCTCGATATCTTTCTGAACCAAAAATCAAGCCAAAAGGAAATTGGATAAAAAATAGAGACAAGTTTACAGTAGAAAGGGAAAATGTTTTAGAAAACGAACTCGAGACGAATGAAATGGACGGAAATGAACTGAAATCTGAACTGAAATCTGAACTGAAATCATTCCTAACTCTTTCTTCTAACAGATTTCTCCATTTTTTGTTCTCTGCAATAACAAAATGGCCTTAAATCTGGCCATTTTGTTGGTCAAATCAAAAATGGAAAAGAATTTCCCCTTTTTGCTGATGCTTTTTCTAATTTTAGCTTTTAGACAAACTCGATTTTAGATCTATTTTAGCAAAAAACTACCGTAATTCACCCGTTTCCATTCGAACAACGTTTCCATAGTTCCGTTCGATCAAGAGAATCACAAGGCTCACCTATTGATACCAAAATTGAGCTCATCTAATGTAAATTGACAGCTAGATTACGGTAGGTTGCTTAAAATTGATGTAACTTAGCAAACTATTGAATAAAATGAACACAATCTAGCCACCGCTATAGCAAATTCGCTTCAGACAAAAAGAAAGCTTTTGATAAAAACAAAACAATAGAAATAGCTAATCTTTTATACAAAAAGGTGTGAAGAAGGCCGATTTATGAATTTCCAATTCAATTTATCGATTTTTGATGAATCTTTTTATCTTTTTATTGAAAATTATTATATTATAGAAGAAGGTGTCTTTGATAGCCTGAGTCGTCAAAAGCTTTCTTTTGTCTGAAGTTTGTCTGAAGCGAAGTTGTTATAGCGGTGGCTAGATTGTGTTCATTTTATTCGCTCTCATAAAACGAACTTTTTTGACAAAACAAACCATTAAACTGACTTTTTTAGTCAAAAGACAATAAAACATTCAAAAGATTACTCTTCAGGGAAAGAACCCTAGTTCTTACTAAAGCTTTTTATTAGACAATGAACAAAAACGGCAAGTATTAACTGTTCAGAAAGAACTTGAACTTTAATTCATCCACTGAATTCCTTATAGCTTTTGCAAAAGTTATATATTCAAATTTATAGAATTTATGTATAAATATATTTATTTATTTATATATAAACTCAGCCTTTTTCGTGATCTTTTGAATTTGATGCCTTTCCCCCGTTTTCCCTGTCTTTTCCCCTTCATCAAGAGCTGATCTAATGTAAATTGACAGCTAGATTATGGTAGTTTGCTTAAAATTTTGCTAGATTATGGTAGTTTGCTTAAAATAACTTAGCAAACGATTGAATAAAATGAACACAATCCAGCCAGCGCTATAGCAAATTCGCTTCAGACAAAAGAAAAAAGAAAAAAAGCTTTTGAAAACAGTCTAACGACCGCTACAGCAACTTTCTTTGTTTAAAAAAAAAATATATATATTTATTTGCACCCAATCATGCGAGATCTTTTTTACAAAATTCTACGCCGAAATTTGACCTATTTCTCTTCCAAATTGGCAAGAAAAAATGCGATTCTATGCTTTCAAAATGTTTTACATAGCAAAAAGCTTCTAGTTTTTTTTATGAAAGCGATTTTTAGAAAAGTTTTTTCTAGTTTTTTTTTGTATGAAAAAGCATTACTTTAATCCGTTCATTTCATTCGTCTTTAACGTCTTTAAAGTTACTTTAACTTTATTTAAAGTAAAGTAACCCCTAATTTTATATTAATTTACTATAATTATTTTATTTTAAATATTTTATTTTTTTATTTTAATTTTTTTTTTTTTTTTTTTTTTTTTTTTATTAAAATATTATTTTTTTTTTTTGGGGGGGGTTAAGGGGGGGGGGGCTTCCCCCCACAATTTTTTTTTTTTTTTGGGGGGGTAAACCCAAAAGAGTTTTTTGGGAGAGGGGGGGGGGGGAATTTTTTTTTTGTGGGGGGGTTTTGGGGGTTGGGGGGGGGGGGGGGGGGGGGGGGGATTAAAAAAGGGGGGGGGGGGGGGGGGGGGGGGGGGGCGCCCCGGGGGAAGAAAAAAAAAAAAAAAAAAAAAAAAAAAAACAAAAAAAAAAAAAAAAAAATTTTTTAAAAAAAAAAAAAAAAAAAAGGTTGGGTGGGGGGGGGGGGGGCCCCCCCCCCGCCCCGGGGGAGGCGGAAAATTGGGATGGGAAAAAAAAAAAAAAAAAACTTAAACCTTTCTTTATTTATTTAAATTTTGATTTTCTAATAGAAGCTTTTGTCATTTTGATTGGCAGAGAAATTATTGAAAAAAAAACTAATATGCAAAGCTAACTCTTTTCCATTTTTTTTCTTCTTCTAGTCCATTTCCTTGCTCATAAACTCTTCAAAAAAGATAACACTTCAAAACACTTCGAAAAGGTGTGAAGAAGGCCGATTTATGACTTTCCAATTCAATCTATCCATTTTTGATAAATAATCCTTTTTTTTTCTATTAGAAATCATTGTAATTCGTAGTTTAAAAAAACAGAAAAAGATAAATAATCAAATCTAGCTTTTGGATAGCTAAAGTTTTGTGGGCTAAGCAAAGAAAAGACTATGGAATACCATAAAAGGTCAGGTCTGAAGTCAGGTTCTGTAATGGTGGCCAGGCCAGTGGCAGTTAAGCCAACTTAAGTCAAGGCTAGGGATAGAGCCAGATTCAAAGGCAAGGTTTAGTAAAGTAGCCTTTAATATTTCTGATTTACTCTTTTTTATTAGCTCCTTCGAATATGATATCAGAAAGATAAGATAAAATAAGATAAAACCTAGATCTTCTAGATTAAAACCTACCGTAAATACTATAATAGTACCCCACCCCCATAATGACGGTGTTTTTCTAGGTAATTTTAGGGCGTAGAATCGAAATTTTGACATAACAGAGCTTGTGGAAACAAACGGACGGAGTTATACAAAGAGAAAAATCGACAATTTTCTGTAATTTGACCTAGTGTCTTTCAAATTGGTTCCACACGCTCTGTTATGCCAAAATTTCGATTCTACGCCCTCAAATTACCTAGAAAAACAACATTTGGAATAAAAATTGATTAATACCGTATTTACTCTATTAGTGGGGTCCTCTCTAATAGTGGGGTCGTCTGGAGGGGGGTTGAAAAAATAGTGGGGTCCTCTCTAATATTGGTAACGAAAGTGATACATCAATTGTTGATCTCTTGGATTAGTTCTTTTACTGTTTGTTAATGTTTTGTTACGGTTAAAGCTAAATAAAATATGAAGCCAAACTTGTTTTTTCAAGAATTTCGGAGAAAAATTGATATCTTTTCAAATTAAAACTTTGGTTTTATGTTCTTTTAAATTTCTCTAATAGTGGGGTCGTCTGGAAGGGGATTGAAAAAATAGTGGGGGACCCCACTAATAGAGTAAATACGGTAATAGCTTTTTAGAGCTTTTTTAAAACGCGAAAAAAGGTGCGCTAATGGGCAAGGTGCGCAAAAAAAGGTGCGCAAATGTCCGGGTGCGCAAAAAAAAGGTCGCATTTGTCCCACTCCCATCTTTTATTTTCCTAAAACAAGATTGAAATGCTTTTGACATAAATGGCGATTTTTATAAAGAAAAAAATCAATCACAATTTACTGATTCGTTTATTAGCTAAGTATTCATTGATAAACAAAGATTTCAAAAAAGTGAACAAGATTTTCCGGCGAAAACAATCGTTTCCCCATCCTCAACTACTTCAAACATTAATTTAAAGAGCGCTGATTAAAGAGCTCTGATGAAAGAGCGCTGGTTAAAGAGCGCTGACTAAAGAGCGCTGACTAAAGAGGGCTGATTAAAGAGCGCTGACTAAAGAGCGCTGACTAAAGAGCGCTGACTAAAGAGCGCTGATTAAAGAGCGCTGATTAAAGAACGCTGCTTGAAGAGCGCTGATTAAAGAGCGCTGATTAAAGAACGCTGCTTGAAGAGCGCTGATTAAAGAGCGCTGATTAAAGAGCACTGATTAAAGAGCGCTGACTAAAGAGCGCTGATTAAAGAGACGCTTAAGTTAAGAACTCCTGTCATAGCATTAAGTATTGGGTTGGTGAATTGAAAACTGCGGGACTTTGAACTAAGATTTATTCAACATAAAACCATCAATTCATTCCACAAAGATCCTTTATAGATAATGGTAACAAATTGTTCATATCACGCTTTGGAAGAGCAAAAAGATGAAGAAAAGGAGATCATTGTTGAGGAAGAGAAGAAAATACATTCAACAATTGCAGGTTAGTGAGCAGAATTCCGTGTACTTGTGCTCATAAGCACACCCTTTCTGGTGCACTGAATTCTTTAGCTTACTATTAGGTCGAGGAAAAAGTTCTGACTCAGTTGCGAAAAATTCAATTTTTCTGCATTTTTTGCTGGTTTTTGCGCTTATACCCATCTTGATCTTATACCATTAGAAATCATTGTAATTCGTAGTTTAAATTCGCTTATACCCATTCGCTTGTACCCATTCGCTTATCCCCATTTGCTTATACCCATTCGCTTATACCCATTTGCTTATACCCATTTGCTTATACCCATTCGCTTATACCCATTTGCTTATACCCATTCGCTTGTACCCATTCGCTTATACCCATTTGCTTATACCCATTCGCTTGTACCCATTCGCTTATACCCTTCTTGATGTATTTCAGATGAGTTTGCAAGAAAAAGAGCTTCGAGTTTTGATCCGCTATTGCTGGAAACGAAAATTTTTAGCAAAAGATACCGTGGAAGAGATTTGCGATGCTGAAGGTGAAGGAACTGTAAGTCAATCAAAATTTTGAAGATGGTACAGTCTTCAAGACACGAACCTCAAGGCTCAAGGCTCAAGACTTACCGCGTTCCGGTCGACCGTCAAAGTTGGATGATCATTGCAGCATTTCCTGAAAGATCGTCGATTCAAGTCATTTGAAGAAGTTGAAAAAGCTTGAAAAAAGAGTTCTTTGATTCGAAACCGAAGAAGTGGTGCTTCGACCAGATCCGAAAGTTTGCCGATCGATTGCAGAAAGTCGTAGTGATAATGAGGGGTTATACTTTCAGGAATTGCTGTAGTTGTTGTTGTTGGTGTTGTTGTTCTGGTTGTTGAATAATTGTTGTTACTTTTGTTATTAAATTGCGCCTAAAAATTGAATTTTTCGCAGCTAAGTCAGAACTTTTTCCTCGACCTAGTAATAACAACATCTATCAAATGAAACGTTTAGTTTATTCAGTTTAATTTATTCAGTTTAGTTAAAGAGTTTCGCGAAGATATAGCTCTTCTCCGCGCGTTGGCGATTTTGGCTGTTCTTGGCTATCATTTTTGGCCAACAATTTTCCCGCTGGGATTCATTGGAGTCGACATGTAAGTACAACTGGAGTACGACTGGTTTTTTTTGATTTTTAAACCTGTTTTCTACTTGGTAGACTCGATAAAATGAATAGGTTCAAACGATTTGCCGACCCTGAAAACCAGTACAGTTGAATGAGTTTTTTTTAAAGCTGAATGTCTTTTCTTACAGCTGAGTATCTTTTCTTTAAAGCTAAATATCTTTTCTTTAAAGCCAAATATCTTTCTTACAGCTGAATATCTTTTTTTTAAAGCCGAGTATCTTCTTTTACAGCTGAGTATCTTTTCTTTAAAGCTGAATATCTTTTTTTACAGCCTACTACAAAGCAAAAGAGGGGAGTGGGACAAATGCGACCTTTTTTTTGCGCACCCGGACATTTGCGCACCTTTTTTTCCGCACCTTGCCCATTAGCGCACCTTTTTTCACGTTTTAAGCTCTAAAAGCTCTAAAAAAGCTCGAAAAAGCTAATATTAACCAATTTCTATTCCAAAAGTTGTTTTTCTAGGTAATTTTAGGGCGTAGAATCGAAATTTTGGCATATCCGAGCTTGTGGAACCAATTTGAAAGACAAAACGGCTAGATCCCATTACAGAAAATTGTCGATCTTTCTCTTTGTATAACTCCGTCCGTTCGCTTCCACAAGCTCTGATATGCCAAAATTTCGATTCTACGCCCTAAAATTACCTAGAAAAACAACTTTTGGAATAGAAATTGGTTAATATTAGCTTTTTCGAGCTTTTTTAGAGCTTTTAGAGCTTAAAACGTGAAAAAGGTGCGCAAATGTCCGGGTGCGCAAAAAAAGGTCGCATTTGTCCCACTCCCCCGCAAAAGAGATCTTTGCCTCAAATTTGTTAGTATTTTTTTTTCTATAAAACTCGAAAATGAGCCAAAATTTGCAAACCATTTTCCGTCAAATATCTTCAATCTTTCAGTTTTTTTGTGATCTCCGGCTTCTTGATTATGCGTATTCTCGAATCACTGAAAAACGAGCGACTAGATCGGGTTTTTCTCTCATTTTACTATCGCCGAGTGAAGCGAATCCTTCCACTCTACTACTTAATTGTGTTTTTCATAGGTAAATAAAGAAAATTTCCCAAAAAACATTGAAAACTTTCAGGTTTTTCAATGCTATTTCTCTATACAGCTGTCTGGGCTCAACGTTATTTTCGTTTCTATTTCGGCGCGATTTTTTTCTTCCCCAATTTTCAACTACAACAAGCCGAGGGGAACTATTTCTCGGAGGTACAATTGACTGATGACATGCAGTTCTTTTTCGTAGTTTAGCTAACAGTTTATCATTGTATCTAAAGACTAGAGATTTAGACTCATTTCTACAAATTTCTGAAATGAAAAGGAAAAGTTTAGGCTACGGAAAAAATGCCATTTCTTCACTCATGGTCTCTCGGTGTCGAGATGCAATTTTATCTTGTCGCTCCGTTTTTATTCTACATCTCAAAAATGGAAATTGCTCAATCAATGGGATATTTGAGTAAGACAAAAGCTTAGCTAGCTTAGGTTAGCTTAGCTTAGCTTATCTAGCTAGCTAGCTTAGCTTATCTAGCTAGCTTTCAAATTCTAGAAGCAAAAGCCTATTTTTCAATTCTTGAATATTCTTTTCCGATCATTTTTTCCATTGTTCAAAGTAAACGATTGAATGAGCCCTGAGAACGACGCATCGAGCCCTTGAAAGGAATCTCCTCGGGTACAATAGGAAGACGCAGCTCGACCAAGACCTAAGAAGTACGGATATGCGCCAGCTCTCGGGACTCAAAGATCCAGTGGAAGTGATTGAGAGAAAAAGACTCAGATGGGCCGGCCACGTAGCCAGAAGAATAGCCAGAAGAACAGACGACAGATGGACGATACGGATCACAGAGTGGCTACCACGAGACCAGAAGAGGCCCATCGGAAGACCAGCAACGAGGTGGAGCACAAGAGTGGCAGAGACGGTGAGAGAAAGGATGGCTAGAGTGCAACCACCACCAACACCAGCAAGTCGAAGACTTCGAACCAGCAACAATCAAGATAGGAAACACTGGATGACAATAGCAAGGAATAGAGAAATGTGGAAGCAGGTTGTGATCTGCGCAAAATAGGAACACCTGAGTGCGAAGACAGATCAAAAAATAAAAAAAAGTAAACTGCTTTAAAAGATTGAACTTCAGAGCTTGGCCCAGTGTTTCTGCTATGCTTTCTACTTTTTTCTTTATATTTTCATTTCTTTTCTCTTCCAATCGTTTCATTCTATCATCCACTCGCGAGAGGATGGCAATTTCTGTGCGGAATGATCACCACATTGTATACAGAAAGTATGAAAACGAGTAAGTTGTATGGAATTGGAAAAATCGACTCTTTCCTATTGGGTTGTCCAGTTATGAATGCGCGTTTTTCACTATTTTGTAAATTTCTCAAGATAACGAAATCAAGAAAAAGATATATATGAGTATTATTCGAAAGCTGAAGATCTCCTCTACATTTTGATATAAAAAGTTCTTGAATTTGTTCAGCTTGGGGCAAATTGACTGCACAGAAGAAGAGGTGGCCAAAAAAAATGGAAGGGTGCCTTTGGAGCAAGTTTTGGCTCCGCTCAAATTGAGTTAACCGTTTGATGTTTGGCCAATAGATATATCAATACAACTTTTTTAAAAATATAACAATTTCAGAGCATCTTTACTTTTCTGGGCGGTTATTTTACACCATAAAACTTGAGGAATAGCTAAGTTGTGATGGCTGGGATGGCTTGAGGAATAGCAAAGCTGGGATGGCTTGAGGAATAGCAAAGCTGGGATGGCTTGAGGAATAGCAAAGCTGGGATGGCTGGAATGGCTTGAGGAATAGCTAAGCTGGGATGGCTGGAATGGCTTGAGGAATAGCTAAGTTGTGATGGCTGGAATGGCTTGAGGAATAGCTAAGCTGGGATGGCTGGGATGGCTTGAGGAATAGCTAAGCTGGGATGGCTGGGATGGCTTGAGGAATAGCAAAGCTGGGATGGCTTGAGGAATAGCAAAGCTGGGATGGCTTGAGGAATAGCAAAGCTGGGATGGCTGGAATGGCTTGAGGAATAGCTAAGCTGGGATGGCTGGAATGGCTTGAGGAATAGCTAAGTTGTGATGGCTGGAATGGCTTGAGGAATAGCTAAGCTGGGATGGCTGGGATGGCTTGAGGAATAGCTAAGCTGGGATGGCTGGGATGGCTTGAGGAATAGCAAAGCTGGGATGGCTGGAATGGCTTGAGGAATAGCTAAGCTGGAATGGGTTTTTTCGAAAACGACCTCTCCCTTTGTGCAGTCAATTTGCCCAAAAGCTGAACAAATTCCAAAGCTTTTTATATCAAAATGTAGAGGAGATCTTCGGCTTTCGAATGATATATAACACTCATATACATCTGTTCGATATCTTGAGAAATTTACAAAATAGTAAACTGGACAACTGGACAACCCAATATTAGGCTGAAAGTCTTTTCGTTTCTTTTTGTATTTTAAAACCGTTTAAAACGTTTAAAACCAACAACTGCATGAATTAAACTACGGTTTCATTAGAAAAGTCAATTATTATAAAGATATTCAGCCGTTTAACTGATTTGGTGGCAAATTCCTTTCAAATGTAAAGATATTCAATTTACTCAACGTGTAAAGAGGACTAACTCGTAGTTAGTAGACGAAAAACGAGTAAAATGCGTAAAAATTACTCATAAAAGTTTGGGGGTGGGACAAATGCAACGTTTTTTTACGCACTCGGCAAAAACCGCACCTGAAACCGCACCTTTTTCGCTGGAAAAGGCCTTAGGTAATTATATGGAAACATTTTTAAATCCATAGAACTTCAAAAATGTTTCCATATAGGAAGCGTATGCGTAGATTCCGAATTTCGAAAAATCAGGCCTCGCTGACAGGTTAAATTTGGACTAAAAGGCAAAAACTGTGGAAAACGTGGAAAGCGTTAAGTTCACCGTTAAAGTACCCGATTTTTTTAAAGGTAATAGGAAAGAGCCAAAAATCTAATCAATAACTTGAGACGAGACTTGATGACCTTGAATTCATAAAGATTTTAGCGTTGACTCGAAAACAATCTGATATTCTCTCGGTGATCTATTTAATCAACACCTCTCTTCTATTCTTTCCATTTCCCGACAAAGTCACTCCACCGCATTTCTTCCAAATCTTAATCACCATCTCGTCAGCTGGTTTTATTCTTTTTTCAACGAATTGGTTGGTGAAAGTGGCGTTATAAGCGATACTTTATAATCGATAATCTTTATAATCGATACTTTATAAGCGATACTTTATAAGCGATAAACTTTATAATCAATAAACTTTATAATCAATAATCTTTATAATCAATAAACTTTATAATCGATAATCTTTATAATCAATAAACATAAAGTTTCAATCAATCAATATTCATCAATATCAAATCAATTCAATCAATAAACATAAATCAATAAACTTTATAATCTTCTACCTTGTTTAAACAAAAGTTTATATCCTTTGTCTTTAGTTCAATCTCGTGGTCTCGTTTCCGCCTCGGGTACATTGCGCGGATCTCCTACGCTCTCTATTTAGTTCATTTCCCGATTCTTCGCTTTACTGAATACCTTCAACAATATTATAATAAAGATTTTGATGGTGAGTTGGGGAAAGAAAGAGGGGAAAGAAAGAGGGGAAAGAAAGAGTAAAGTGGGAAAAGAGTAAGTTCAAATTTTGTAATTGTTATAAATTAGAGATCTAAAATATTCTTCTAAATTTCCTTTGAGAGTCAAATTTGAAATAAACTCTTTTCTCGTGACTATAAGCTCTTTTAATGCACCAAAAAGCGTATGTTTTCAATAGTTCAATATTTCAATGACCAAATAATGCAGTTACAGTAAAAACCTAGCCAAATCTAGCCAACTCTAGCCTTTTTAGTCCCCCTCGTCTCCCTTGTGATCACTTTTCTTCTCTCCATCGTTGCCCATCACTTCTTCGAGGCTCCACTCCTTCGAGTCGGAAAACTTAAAATCTTCCTATCAACACTCAAATATTTTGCACTTTGTTTGTTGATTGGATTCAATTGGAAGAAGATTGTTCATCCCGATTGCGGTTTGTCACTTAACACATTAACAAATCCACGTACGGCTCATCAGTAAGCCGTATGTCGACTTATTTGAGGCCAATTGAGCTGAAAATTTACACTAGAATGTTTTCCAAGGCAAGGAATTCGAATCCGTTATTAGTTTTTGAAGAAAACTGCTTTATTTTTAGATAAGCTGCTCCAAAACGCTTCAAAGCGCTCCAAAGAAAGTTGCTCCAGAGCGTAATGCTTTTAGCGTGCTCAAAATGAAGCTCAAAGCCTTGAAAAATCTCAAATAATAAAAGCGACCCGATCAAAAGATTTAAAAAGTGAATAGAGACAGGATTACGGTAGAAAGAAAGAGAAATGATTTGGAAAGCGTTTTAAAAAAAAGAGACTCAGGTTTAGGACTCCACATCATCTTCATCCTCTACGAGAAGGCTTTGCTCAAAGCCTTGAAAGCTCAAAGCCTTGAAAGCTCAAAGCTCAAAGCTCAAAGCCTTGAAAGCTCAAAGCCTTGAAAGCTCAAAGCTCAAAGCTCAAAGCTCAAAGCCTTGAAAGCTCAAAGCCTTGAAAGCTCAAAGCTCAAAGCTCAAAGCTCAAAGCCTTGAAAGCTCAAAGCCTTGAAAGCTCAAAGCTCAAAGCTCAAAGCTCAAAGCCTTGAAAGCTCAAAGCCTTGAAAGCTCAAAGCCTTGAAAGCTCAAAGCCTTGAAAGCTCAAAGCTCAAAGCTCAAAGCCTTGAAAGCTCAAAGCTCAAAGCTCAAAGCCTTGAAAGCTCAAAGCCTTGAAAGCTCAAAGCCTTGAAAGCTCAAAGCCTTGAAAGCTCAAAGCTCAAAGCTCAAAGCCTTGAAAGCTCAAAGCTCAAAGCTCAAAGCCTTGAAAGCTCAAAGCCTTGAAAGCTCAAAGCTCAAAGCCTTGAAAAATCTCAAATAATAAAAGCTTCATCAAAAGATCAAAAGATTTAAAAAGTGATTACGGTAGAAAGAAAGAGAAATGATTTGGAAAATGTTTAAAAAAAAAGAGACTCGAGCTATTTCTATTAAAGTTTCAATTACTTTCGTGAGATAAGAGAATGAAAGTTTCAAAATCTCTTTTATCTTTCGAGCTAAACTAAAGTGTTCATTTAAATAAAGTATTCATTCATATAAAGTGTTCATTTCCATCACCAAACAATAAATAAATCTGAATTCACCAAATTACAATCTATAATCAACAAAGTTGATTATAGATTGTAATTTGGTCCAGAGCGTAATGCTTTCAGCGTGCTCAAAATGAAACTCAATGCTTTAAATGGAATTTAATCTGATAGACGATAGATGATCATCTGTTAATAATGAAATTGATTCCATTTCAGCGCAAAAGTCTACAATCAGCGAGAATCAGAAATTCATCCAATCATTGTATCGGCTAGAGGGTGGGCACTTTGTCGATGATGGTTTCATGCGGCCGAGTCCACCATTCGGGCATTATCTTTATGAGGTAAACAAAAAGACAGAATTTGCTATTAGTGCTTTAAAATAAACAGGTTTTCCTTACCCATATGGCAATTTGTTTCACAGATTTGTTCTTGAAATGTTTGGATATTTTGAGATTTCAAGTGAGATCAGAGAGTTTTCAGGGTGATACGGGTAAGCTGAAGATCATGATTCTTGGAAACTCGTGGGCGACTGGAGAGGCGCATGTGAGTGGCCTATTTTTACAATTATCTAGATTCTGCATATACACTTAGCCAGTTTTTACTGTTAAGTTCTTACTTTCTAACCTTTATCCTTAAATTTGTATTTCTTTTTGTAGCTCCACTCTAGCTTTGTAGCTCCACTCTAGCTTTGTAGCTCTACTTTAGCTTTGTAGCTCCACTCTAGCTTTGTAGCTACTACTTTAGCTTTGTAGCTCCACTCTAGCTTTCTAGCTCCACTCTAGCTTTGTAGCTCCACTCTAGCTTTGTAGCTCCACTCTAGCTTTGTAGCTACTACTTTAGCTTTGTAGCTCCACTCTAGCTTTCTAGCTCCACATCCCCCTTTAAGCGCACTATTTCTTTGGTTAGGATCTCTTATCTCTCTTTCAAACAAGGCTCCTAAAACAATATTGTTTATCGAAGTTGCCGTAATGATGGAAGATTGGCTCTGATGAGCTCTATCACAGCAATTGGCAATGATAAATGTAATACTTGAAGAGAATTTGAAACTTATGATTATGAAACGTGTGATATGAGCTTATAAACTTTATGAGCTCATATCTATGAGCTTATAAAACTTAGAGCTCATATCTATGAGCTTATAAACTTTCTGGACCAATGAATTTTCTGGAAAAGAAACACTACTAATGATGTTTTTACAAGAAACAATAAAAATGGATGAGCAATAAATGATAAAATGGGTTGACGGGGGTACAAAGACAGCTCAAATTTCGATAGCATTTTGCTAGAGATAGCAAAAAGACAGCTCGAATTTTGACCATAAAATGAATTGTATCCTAACTTTTAAGTCATTTCCTTATAACAAACTTGAGAGAAACATTTGGTGGTCGAATTTGTGGCTAGATTCACCACAAATTCTTTAACTTTAGTCATTTATTGTATTAGATTAGGTTTAGTTTGGCCATGGGTCAGGTCCATGGGCCAGGTCTAAGGGCCAGGTCAAGGCAGGGTAGAGCTTTGAGGCAGACTTTTTGCGATTTGTGAAGATTTGATAAACATAAAAACTAATTTTGCAATTTGACTGGCGCAGCTACGGTAATTTAACTATAGAATCGACTTGTTTGCTAGTCGCTAATCGTTAGATCGTGTTGGTGAACCTGGATCCTGCCTTTAGGTAGACTGGCCAATCTATGATTACTACAAATTCCAGTTGATACGAAACTATTTCTCAAAGAAAGACGTCTATCAAATGCACCTTTTCTCTCAACCCGGACACACGTTTGGCCTACATGGAGAGAGTCCCAAAGTAGCAAGTAAGTATTTCAAAGTTTATTGTACATAAAATTTACAATTCTCGAGCAAATCCCGTACTTTATGAGTTTCTTGAAGAAATTTCAGCCGGATTATGTTTTCTTGCTTGTGAGGTGAGCTCAAAGAATCTAGAAATCTCGATCAGCTTTTCTAGGTACAACAATGATGCAACGAATCGCGATTTGACGAATTTTCAAGGGGCAAACGATCAAATACTTGACAATTATTTAAGGGGAATTCACAATATTAGGTAAGAGCTCATAAGAAACAAGATAAGTGTAAGAAATATATTTACTTTGTGAACTGGGTAATTGTGCGGGTAATTGTGCGGGTAATTGTGCAGGTAATTGTGCGGGTAATTGTGGGGGTAATTGTGCGCCATCCTGTAAAAAGCTTGTTGCTCTTGTTTAACCTTGTTTAGTCTTTTTTAGTATTTTTACTACACTACTGGACAATGAAATATCATATTTGAAAAAAGATCGTCACTTTCGCGCGTCTGTAACTCCCTTGTCTTTACCGTATTTCTAAATATTAATCTTACCATTGTGTAGCCCTTGAAAAGAGCTTTCAGAAAATGTATAACACTAAAAGTTTAAACTCAAAGATAACGGAGTTACAGACGCGCGAAAGTGACGATCTTTTTTCTAATATGATATTTCATTGTCCAGTAGTGTAGCTACTAAGGTAGTTGAAGGGAAGTCAATTTTTTTTCTTCAAAACTACTTTTTCTGAAATAGTTTTATGCGTAGATTCCGAAAAACACAACGAGAACTTGGGGAAATGCATTTTAAGCCTAGTTTTGGGGCTCAAAAAGCTTCTATAGTGTATTTTACTATATGGAGCCAAAGCTATCGACTATTTGGCCACTTTTTAAGGTCAAAACTAGAGCTAAAACCACTGTAAGTGTAAGTACTGTAAGTGTAAGAAATATATTTACTTTGATCTTTATAATTTCTTGTGAGACCGTGTCTCGGTGTGGTTTAATGGTCGATGTCTTGAAAAAGCACAATTTATCACAAACTTTCCCTTATTAGGGTAAACTTCGCTCAAACTGGAGCAACTATCACAAGCTGGCACTATCACAATTACTTCAACACTTGCGTGTGAATAAGGGATGAATAGAAAAAGGAGCACACGATTGACTCAAAATCGCGCTTAAATAATGGGTTTTTAAGTACAAAAGCTACGACAAACGGACAACTGAATCTCGTCTAGTGGCTGATTACGGTAGTTTATCCATCAACTCAAAACAAAGCTTAAATAATAGGTTTTTAAGGCTTGTGTATTGAATTTTGACTAACTGGAGAGCAGTGGCGAATTGCCTTATTGTGGCAATTCGCCAATTCGCCAAGAGCCTTTACCGTATAAATGATTTGCGTATTGGTCAAGTTAGTTATCAAATAGAAAACATTTTTTTCTACCGTAATCCTTTCTCTATTCTGCCTCCTATTCATAAATTAAACCAATTTTTAGTCTATTCACCAAAAAACTCTTTCTTCAAACACATCAACCATTCGATTGTCAGGGTAAAGAAAAAGAAATTATCAATCGTTTCGTTGACTCTTTGCAGAAAGAAGAAAATATGCAACACTTCAATCGACCGTTTAATGTAAGGCAAATTATTGTTTACATCATGTAAACTTCGGCTCTTGCTTTGTTTTCGGGTATATTGAACGGATCGTCACGTTTTGATGGTCTATAACTTTGTCCAGAGATCTTATTTTTGTTAACTTTTTATATCATTGTACAGAGGACATTTCAGGCTTTCAAATGATACCAAATAGAGCTTGACTGGATTTTCCATTCCCATGCAAACAAGGTGAAACGACACCCGAGTTGGATAGGCCTCATTTGCTCAGAGTTGGCTCAGATTTTGGACTAAATTAAAACTAACTAAAAAGTTGGACTAAATTCTCCAATCAAGCTCTATTTGGTATCATTTGAAAGCCTGAAATGTCATCTGTACAATGATATAAAAAGTTAACAAAAATAAGATCTCTGGACAAAGTTATAGGCCATCAAAGTTTGACGATTCGTTCAATATACCCGAAAACTAAGCAAAAGGCCAAATTTCTTTAAATGATACAATTTTAAGCTGTTTAGGGGCATTTTTTGAAACTTTTTAGGTGACCGCTTTCTACAATAGTTCTGTGCATCAACGGTTGAAGATCGTTTTTGAAAAGTGCTCAAATTGTTACCCGATAGACATCGCTGAGCCATTTATCGGTGCGTTGAAATCAAAATTGAGTTAGGATTTACGTTCAGATTTCAAACGCAAAGAATTGTTGGTTTTCGACGTGAACACTCAATTGTTGTACATCGACACTCAATGTCATCTCACCGTATCGGGGTTGAAGATGATCGAGAAACCGTTGAGATTATCGATCGAAAATGGAATCAATTCGAAGAAGAGCAATACATAGAGCTTATAAATATTCGGATTTTTGTAAATTTTAATAAAAAAATCTTTATTATCTATAAAAGTATATAAAAAGAGAGTAAATATCATTTTTGTTTTATACCCGCTTAAGGAAGAAAATTATAGAATGGATAAGAGAGGAGGAATAAATGAATAGATGAATAGATGAATAGATGTTAAAGAATAGATGTTAATGTCTCAATTTAAAGCCAGCAAAAAGTAAAGGTCACTGTTAACATTGTCAATAAATGGGTGGCTGAAAATTACGTGCGCGCAGCATCTGACATAGTTTTAAACAATGTATAAAGCATTACTACTCATCTTTTTGTGTTTTAATATTCTTTTTATCGTTGTCTATTAAGTTTTCGTTAAAAAAGTTGTTTTCTAGGTCATGACAAAGGCAAAGACGAAGACAAAGACGTCTAAGAAGACCCTTCATCACGATTGGGCGCCGGCCCACAGAGCTAAAACAACAATTCGCTTTCTCCAAACCAAAATTGGCCAGTTGAGACGCACCGCACAGCGGTATGAAGAACTCATCGATCGCATCGGGGCTTGGGGTGGCTCTGTGGACCGTCCAGAAGATCGTAAAGCAATTGAAAGAGGAGGACATGGGACATGTTCAGTCCAAGCCCGGAAGAGGAGGAAAGAGGACCGTTAACACTCCCGAAAGAGGAGCCATCCCAATTTGACCCTTCAACAGGATTGGGCGCCGGCCCACAGAGCCAAAACAACAATTCGCTTGCTTTAAACCAAAATTGGCTCTTTTTGACGAAGGATCAATGGCCTGCAAACAGCCCGGATCTCAATCCGTTAGACTTTTCGGTTTGGGGTTTTATGGAAGAACAATTGAGAAATAGGAAAATCAACAATTTGAATGATTTGCGTCAAGAATTGATCAAAATCTGGAACGACTTAGATGCAAATTATCTCCGCCGCACCGTCGATTCTGTAAAGAAGCGAATTGAAGCCTGTATCAAAGCGGATGGAGGCCACTTTGAAAATTTCTTGTAATTATTTAATATTTTAGTTATAACTATTATATAAATAAATATTTTTGTTACAACTATCATATAAATAAAGATTTTTACATGTTCTTTAAAAGAAAATTAAATTATGGCGTTTTCTTTCGCGCACTTAATTTTCAGCCACCCTGTACAATGATAAGAATGATAAGAATGATAAAAAGTAAGATTATAACTCATCTAGCATTATTTTACAAGTGTTATTCTCTATTTCCAAATAACCATAATCATTTCGAGATGTTTCCAATATTTTGTACAATTCCTCGCGAATCTCGATGAAATCCGGTCGTTTATCGGGCCTCCATTCCCAACAACGTTTCATCAAAGATTTTCTGGACTTGTTTATTTAATATATTGAATTTTTAAACACCTTTTAGATCAGTTTAATCCTTTTTATACTAAATTCTGTCTTTTTCTTTTCAAAACTCACAATATTACTGGACAATCAGGCGCTTCTAAACGAGCTCCTTTCCTTAAATGAGCAAGCATTTCATCGGGAAGAACGGTGATGTAAGGAGTGAGTCCCCAAGAATAGACTTCGTACAGGAAAACACCGTATGACCAACTAAAATTCGATTTAATACAAGAAAAATTAAGAGTTTAAAAGAATCGCTCAAAGAAATGGCTATAATCGCTTAAAATCGCTTTGATTCAATAACCAAAGTTTCTTTTTTAATCGAGTTATTAAATTGTGGAAGATTTTACTCCCTCATGTTCGTGATATTCCCACCTTGGCTAGATTTAACGCTGCAATTTCGGCAATTCATTTGACTGCTCTGTGATTCTTTCTTGAGGTATCTATTTACCTTTTGGGTGTGTTTTGAGTGGTGTCCCGGGTAATTATTGTGATTTTGTTTTGTCGCTATTCAACTGAATAAAGCATATATATATGTCGTAGCCGATGAAGGATTTCAGCCGGAGAAGTCTCAGACTTCTTCGGCTAGCCGATTAAGTCTCAAAAATGAAATCTTGAGTTATCCTTTGCAATGCCCGCAAAACGACGAACTTTGTGAAATGATCCTGGTAGACCATCAAAAACTTGAATTCTCCATCGGAAACGGATTGAAGGTCGACTAAATCCGTGCCTTTGACGAATGACGAAAAGGGCCCTTTTATAGCCTTTGGTTATAGTATGATAAAATGCACACTCTTTAGAATGCGTTTTTAGCTTTTAAGCGCCCTTTAGAGAGCTTGAGTTTGTGGTATTGACTTGAGTCAATACATAACTCGAGATTTCATTTTTGAGACTTAATCGGCTAGCCGAAGAAGTTTGAGACTTAATCGGCTGAAATCCTTCATCGGCTACGACATATATAATAAGTAATCTAGCAAAAACAAAAACTTTAAAGTTTAATGAATTAAATATTTAAGAAATAAAATTATTTAAGAAATGCTTTCAATTATTGAAAACATTGCCCACTCAAATATCAGAGCTGATCGAGAATTGTGCGAATTTTTTCTAGCTAGATCTACTAGCTAGATCTTTTGGGGCTAATATAGCCGGGTCATCTCTCTGTTGCCGTGGCGCAGTCGGCAAAGCGTTTGGCAATGCTCAGTTTATTCTTGAAATTAAGCAAAAGTTTAGTGTAAAAAGTGCTTTAGCAGAAAATATTCTACTGAGAAGAAGTTTTTCAGAAGTAAAAAGCTTCAAGGATTATTTCTACAATTTAGAAAAAGAAAAAAAGAAAAACTTTCATGTCTCCTAGTTGAAGAATTACAGGCCTAAAGACGAAAAGTTGAAGAAAAAGATAGGAAATGTAGGAAAATTTGAGTTATTTTGCTCTTCTTTAGTAATAATCCTTTAGATTTATGAAAAAAATAATAGATTAACTTTGAAATTTTGCTTAATTTCAAGAATGGACTGGTCATTTTTCCACTAAAAACTCTTGGCTCTATAATTTTGTCCGGTACTTGATTTTGGACATGATTTAGGAAACAATTATTGAAAACACCGCTCAGTAACTCACATATCGGATCTAATCGAGAATTGTACAAATTCCAATGATTCTGGAGCCATCCATTTGATCGGCAATCGACCACCACGCGTTGTGTACAATGTGATCTCATTGAAACGGCATAAACCAAAATCGCTTAACTAAATTGATTGATTGATTAACTGAAGTCGAGTAGATGAGATTTTTCTTTGAAATTTCTTTGATCCTTCAACTTTTTAGTGTCCAGAATCATTGGAATTAAAAGCTTAGCTTGGCAAGATTTTGTGAAGTTCAGAGTCGAATCGTTTGGAAATTTTGGAAATTTTGGAAATTTGTTAAAGTTACCTTTACAACTTTATTCCTTGCAACTAAAACATTTCTCGCAGCAACATCTCGATGAATAATATTTTTAGAAGATAGATAAACCTAGATTTTGAGTACGTTAAAATTCTCTCAATCTCACCAAAGCATCAGCGATTTGCCATGAGATTGGAATGAAATCGGCAGAGTCGAGAAAGTCCTGACAAACAAAAGACAATGATTAGAATGAAATTGAAGCGAATTTAATTGAAAAATGGAATTCACAATGAAATTGATAATGAAATTTGAATGCTTTTCAACTTTAAAACTTTGAGAAATCAAAAAAGATTCTCGTTTTTAGCTGCTCTTATCCCGCTTACAGTTTCTCCACGTATTTGACTCCTCAACAGCTCGAGTAGATCACCTTTCTCGCAAATTTCCGTCACAATGCATGGATGAAAAGGATCTTAAATGTATTGTAGTTAGAGTTTTAGGAATTTCTTTTTAATTTCTCAAAAATCTTTTACCACTCTGACAGCCGAGAAGCGAGGAAAGATGCGGATGATAGCCGAGAGCTTTCATGAAGTTGATCTCTTTCATGAATTCGGATCTGAAAAGATTTTGATGATGATTGATTCTCAATTTTGCATCAAATCTGATAATCAAAACAAAAATTAAACAAAAATTAAATCGAAAACTGGCAAGGGAGGATAAACCTTCTTACAAGGGAAAGGCAGAGTCAAGCTGGACTTTTGACTCGAGCCTACTAAGTCCATCTTATAGAGTCGGCCATGGGGATGTTGAATCCGTTTTTAGTTTTTGCAAAACGCTTCGTAAACGCATGGTATTTGGCATAGAACATTAGCATGAGTTTCGAACTCCTTAAAGGTTCTTAAAGCCTTCTTAAAAACTTCTTAAAGCCGTCACACGCGCCGTTAACAACTGCTTTGATGGTCTAGTGGATAGTCTGCTAGACCACCGAACCTATTACATTTTTCGGTTCGCGTTCGAGTTCAAGCTCGAGTCCCACTCTCGTCTCTCTCTTGAGAAAGTTCGGTAGTCTAACAGACTATCCACTAGACTACCGAGCACTTGTTAAGGAAATGTGTGACAGCCCGAACTGTGACAGCTTCTTAAGAAGTCCAAAATCTAGATATCTATCTCGATATCTACCAAAATCTATCTCGCTTTTGCGAAGCGTTCTGCAAAATTCAAAAACGGCCGACCCCATGGCCGACTCTATAAGATGAATTTGGTCTCAAGTCAAAAGGCGAACTTGACTTGGCGTTTCCCTTATTAGATAACGAACTTATCAGTGTAGGATGCATGTGGATGAGGCTTCTTCACGGCCACTCGATTCTCCGAGCGCTTCAACGAGCAGGATAACTGAATGGCGTCGTTTTATACATAATAACAAGATTTGATTTTTAGGAATCAATATCTCATCCCCATTTGCCGACTTGAACCAAAACCTTCTTGAACTAGGCAAACAATTCCCAGGCTGATACAGCTTTGAAACGTTTCTACAAGTCAAGTTTCACCTATGGTTTAGGCTTTCCAGAAAACAAACCAAAAGACAATACAGTAAAGTAAATGTGAATGTTTAGTGATGATTTAAAAGGCAGAATGTTATTACTTTATTACTTTACTGTATTGTTATTACTTTATTAGTAATGTTATTACTTTATTACTTTACTGTATTGTTATTACTTTATTAGTAATGTTATTACTTTATTACTTTACTGTATTTTTAAGAAACTGCCTTTTAAATCATCACTATAGCTCACTCAACTTTGCAATTGAAAGTTGAGCTTTGCATTTTTCCGCAAATTTTCCACTCCTTACTATTAGGTTGTCCAGAAATAAATGAGCGTTTTTAACATGAATATTTAAAGTACCATAACTTGATCCAAAAAAAACTTTATTAATCGAAATAAGAACCATTACAATTAACACATTTTTGCCAACGAGAAACAAGTTTATTCATGCCGATAGCATAGATGTCCGGGCTTCTGGTGGCGATAAAGTCGGCGAAGGCGTTTTTGGCATCGTCTTGAGCTTTGAAGCATTTCTCCCGGAGAAAGTTGTCGAGGTGCTTGAAAAAGTGGTAGTCGGTAGACGAAAGGTCCGGCGAATATGGCGGGTCAGGCAAAGTTTCGTAGCTCAGTTCGTTCAGCTTTTGCAGGGTCGGTAGTGCGAGCGTTGTCGCGGAGAAGAATTGGACCTTTTCTGTTGACCAATGCCGGGTACATTCGCCGCAATTTCTGGTCCATTTTGTCGATTTGTTGGCAGTACTTCTTCGCTGTAATCGTTTCGCCCGGATTCAGAAAGCTGTGATGGATGAGACCGACTGCGGACCACCAAACAATCACCATAATCTTCTTTTGGTGCAAATTTGGCTTTGAAAAGTGTTGTAGAGCCTCTCCGGCATCCAACCACTGAGCGGAACGTCACCGGTTGTCGTAGAGGATCCACTTTCATCGCACGTTACAATCCGGTCAAGAAATGAGTCGTTTTTGTTGCGCTGAAGAAGACCAGACGACACCTAAAAACGACGATTTTTTTTGATTTTCGTTCAATTCGTGCGGCACCCATTTATCGAGCTTTTTTGACTTTCCAATCCGTTACAAGTGGTCAGAAATGGTCGTCTTGCCCACTCCAAGCTCCTCCGCAAGCTAATAGTCGTACATGGATTTGCTTCCACCAGGGTCTTCATTTCGTCGTCATCGAGTTCAACAGGACGGCCACGGTCTTCCTTATCTTCGAGATCAAAATCATCACCTCAGAATTTTCAGAACCAAGTTCGCACTGTTGACTCGCCGACACTACCTTGGCCCCAAACTTATTTAATGTTACGAGCCGTTTCAGCTGCATTACGACCGAGTTTGAACTCATAAAAGAAAATCTGGCGAAAGTTAGTTTCGGACATCTAAAACGGCAAAGCTTAAAATTCGCAAAAAATTTAATTTTCAACAAAATTTAAAAGCATCGTTAAAGAGAGCGCGAACTCAGCTTTCTAATCGTATATAACATTACAAGGTACAGAGCATACTTTATTGAGAAAAATGTACCCAAATAATAAACAATACAAAACGCTCATTTATTTCCGGACAACCTAATACTTCCAAACCTCACTACAGAGTGTCCCAACAACTATTATTGCTTTTTATTTCTTTCTCGTTACCCCGATTGAGATAATTTTCTACCAATCGATAGAAGAAGACATGACGAGTCGAATGATTCAAAAACTATTTCAATCTGGCAACTGTATGCTAAGATATTTGAGTTTAAAGTTCGATTGTCAAGGAAGCAAAAGGCGGGCTCAAATGTTCTCTCTAAGATACCGTATTCTCTCTAATAGTAGTGCACCATAATCGTCGTCTAAATTACTCGAAATCTCGAAAAGCGCTTATCAAAACCCATCGATGTGGGGTCGGAAAATGTAGCTGACGATGAGATCTTGACGATGATTAGAGGGTTGAGCTTCTGCGAAAGCTTGGAAACCGTAAAATCGTCATCAATTCGGCTCGGTGGGGGTGCACTACTATTCGAGAAAATGCGGTAATTGTCAGAACGTTTAGGAAACACTTACCTTTGTCTAATAATGTTTTTCCTAGACCAAGTAACTCCGCGTCGCCTAAATTGCTCGAAATCTCGAGAACCTCTGAAATGCGCCTATTCTCTATTCTCTGCTGCAGTTTCTATTCTTTTGCCAAGATCAAAATACTCACTTGCAATGTTTCAGTGACTTTTAAAACAGGAAGTTGTCCATGTAAAATCCCAACATAAACAACGGCATAAGCGCCGGAGCCGAGCTTCTCATTGGTGATGTGCAGTGAATCATCGTCAATGTCCCATTCATCAAGAGGACTAAATTTTGTTTCAATTACTCTGCAATCTCCGTAAATAGATTTTAAACTCAAAATCTGAAAAAAACGAACTCTCCGTGTCTTTTCTTTCGATATCCACCGAATCCCGAGTAAAGATTCGAGAATCTTCTTGTTCCAGACTTTTCAAGAGTTTCCGGTTCAAGGTTTTTCACGAAGCTAAAAAGTTTTGATGGTTTTCAGAGTTTATGTCTAGAGTTGCAGAGTCATATTGTAAAAGATCCATCAGAATTACTCATTACTGCTATTCTTCGAGTTTTTTTTTGCATGTTTCTTGTATTAATATTGGATTTTTATTGTTTTGTCGATATTGGACATTCCAATTGATGGAATTTCTGCTCATAAGGCTCGTTTCGTCCAAGACTCGTGCCGATAGAACTTCCCGGGCTTCATCGCGTTTGATCAAGCCCCCCGAATCTCAATCCGATGGATTTTTCTGTTTGCTTAGTCCTTGACACAAAATCTTGTCAAAAGCATCGACTCTTTGAAGAAAGCAGAAAGCTTGGGCAAATTTTGACATTACCTACTTGCGTGCTATAGTAGACGCGTTCCCGAAACGTCTGGATTAGACCTGGGAATTTTCGGTGTCAACATCAATTCGAACGGAAAGCCATATCTTAACCAATTTCTTTCCAATCTTTTTTCCTTGATTTCAATCAATAGAAAATGAAATTCTGCGTCAATTGATATCAAAATCAAAAAGATCGGAGTGGAATTGGTCAAGATATGGCAATTCCCGTTGCATGTCCATTGGGGCACAGACAAACAGACAAACAGACAGACAGACAGACAGACGGACGGACGGACGGACGGACAGACATACAGACGGACAGACGGACAGATAGACAGACAGACATACAGACAAACAGACAGACAGACAGACGGACAGGCAGACAGACGGACAGACAAACAGACAGACAGACGAATAGACAGACAGACAGACAGACGTCTTAGTCCCCTTATATAGAGTAGATTATGACTGATCCTGTACAAAAAATCACCAAAATAGCCATTGAGGGCAAATGTGTCGAATACAGTAGACAATGCAAATGAGAAGACCCATAAAAACGACCACTCCCACCGCCAGCAGCCACCAGTAGAACATCTGGGGTGCTGTGTCTAAAACTTACTGTAACTTTGATAGATGATTTGCATTTTGATGCTAATTGTTATCAAAAATATGCTTAGAGCAAAGAGTGCGAAAAATTACAAAGTAATGAGTGTAATGGATTGAACTTTCAGATCTAAATAGTATTGCTATTTAGATTAAAACTTCAATTTTATTTAGCAACCTGACTTTTCGGGACACATTCCGAAGCGATCCGCATAGTCTTGCAAATTTTCGATGTAACCGATCCACTGAATGTAGTCCTTGTTAGGGACGAGATGTTTTGCGAAAAATGGAAGACAGGTTTCAAGTTTGCCTTTCTGAATGATCTTGATAAATCTTGACTTGATAAATCGGTTTCGAAACTGACTTCAATCCAAAAAAGGCGAAATGGGACACCGTTTGCTATAATGGAATTCGCGTGGCTTAGGAACACTGAAAAGTGGTTATATATTTGAAAAGTTTTATATAGATCAATTTTTCCAGGACAGATCTGCCCTGCAGGTCTCTGCTGGTTTTGGCTTGGTTTTGGCTTGATTTTGGCTTGGTTTTGGCCCATAACAAGTACCTGAACCAGTCAGAAACAGAGCATTTTCCTCGTGATTTGATGATAGACTTGATTATCGAGATTATCGATATCGAAAGCATGCATTATCGATAAGCTTAGGCTCAATCAAAAGCTGACATTCTTGACTTTACAATGAAAAAATTTGCAGCGTGATAGCTGTTCTGGAAACCGAGATTTGAGAGGTTAAACATGAGCTTGCCGTTTGTATCGATAAGCAAGTCTACTCGTGATTAATGCGCTTTAAAAAGGCTACCGTGGTTATGCGAATTTATTTATTCTACAAAACTAAAAGTTATTTAGTTGCTTTGAAAGTATAATTTGTACCAATTTGTACCGCATTAATTTAGACAAATCTTGATTAATTGAGCTTTAATCGATTCAAAATCTGTTTATCTTTATACAAATTTGTTGAATTAATTATTTAATCACGAGAAACAAACACTAGTCAGAAGTCTGGTTTGATCTTGGCCTTGGTCTAGTTCCTGCCTGGCACCTGAGATCCACCTGGTTTTGGCCTGGACCTGATTCTGGCTCTGAGCCTGGCTCTGATCCTGGCTCTGATCCTGGCTCTAACCCTGGCTCTGAACCTGGCTCTAACCCTGACTCTGATTCTGGCTCTAAACCTGGCTCTGATCCTGGCTCTGATTCTGGCTCTGATCCTGGCTCTAACTCTGACTCTGAGCCTGGCTCTAATCTTGACTCTGATCCTGGCTCTAACCCTGGCTCTGATCCTGGCTCTGATCCTGGCTCTAACTCTGACTCTGAGCCTGGCTCTAACTCTGACTCTGAGCCTGTTCATGGCCTAGTTCTGCCCTGAGCCAATTTACTATCAAACAGCTATGCCAAGCCTGATTCCAATCTAGTCACCTTCAATAAGCATTCCCATCATTTCAAATCCTTTCTGTGTACAATCGATATCAGTGAAGAAATAGATGGCTTTTGCCGTATTGTTGTCCAATTTTGTATTCGCCAGTTCAAACAGATTCCACAACGTATTATCCATAGCGGTGGCATTGTTCATGTATTCACTAAACAATCAATCAAAATCGAACTAATCAATAGGAAAACTTTGGCCCAAGATTGTATTGCTCTAAACGACTCGGGATGAGTGCCTGTGGGTCGTCCATTCGAATCGCTGTCGAAGCCCAGTCGTCCGGGTAAAGGAAAACGATTTTGCTGAAGTGAAAAGGGTTGATAAAGGTGAGCAATTTTTAAAACAAAACTGTCTACGACAGCTTTATTTGCAGTACCTCAAAGGAGTGTCGCCTTTCGCTACAAGATGTGCCTGATAATCTCCACAATTTTCCATCAATTTCGACAAAAGTGTGCCCACCGACCAGTAGCTGGTCGATTGATTTCTGAACGGTTTTTGAAAAGAAAGAATTTTGCAAAATGGTTACTCCCAATTCGAGATCATTCCATAGAAACCCAAATTCCAAATCGTGCACTCAGCGTCTTCCATTTTTCCCTTTGATGAGACTAAATTTTTCAAATCACCATCAAGAATGTGACACCCGGGATCTAGAGCTACGCAAGGCAAGGCCAGATCCACAGCAAAGTCAGGCAAGCAAAGCCAAAAACCAGATCAGGCAAGGCAAAATCAGAAACCAGACCAGAAGCCAAGAAATCTTGGTTTTGAGCTGACCTGATCTGATTCGGGAAAATTACTTTGGAACTATGAATTTAGAACTTTGGAACTATCAATTTGGAGCTTTGAAACTATGAATTTGGAACTTTTGAACTATCAATTTGGAGCTTTGGAACTATCAATTTGGAGCTTTGGAACTATCAATTTAGAGCTTTGGAACTATTAATTTGGAGCTTTGGAACTATCAATTTGGAGCTTTGGAAGAATTTGGAACTTTGGAACTATGAATTTGGAAATTTGGAACTATCAACTTGGAGCCTTGGAACTATCAATTTGGAACTATGAATTTGGAGCTTTGAAACTATCAAACTCACCATCCAAACAATCCTCTTCATATACTGAAAAGCTTAGATTCACAAAAAGTAATAGTAAAATCAATTTCAATTTCATTTACTTTGGTGGTGAGTTTCTAAAAAAAAAATGGGGTTCAATTTCTTGACGCCTAATCCGATTTCTTATCAAAATTTACACACACCCAAAGCATAACAAAGCATTTGGCAAAAAGGAAATCTTTAATAGAATGGAGAAGTTCCGATGACTGTGAAATCGTTTGAAAAGTCTCGTCGAATATAAAAAGAAAACAGTCGGCAAACACATAAAAAATTGAGTTTAGCAACACGAGTTTAGCGCGAGATGTCTGATCCAAAAAACAGCAATTAGACTACGATTATTTTATTATAAATAAGATTTACCTACTGTAAAGAATCATGGATACATCATCCATGATTCTTTACGGGATCTTTACGGGATCTTTACGGGAAAATGGGATCATGCATTATGCCGATCTGAACGACACTGATCTCACAGGAGATTCGGGTGGAATGGTTTGGTTTAGAGATTCTTTCCTTGGCTTAGAGATCCTAGATTCTTAGAGATCCTAGATTCTTAGAGATCCTAGATTCTTAGAGATCCTAGATTCTTAGAGATCCTAGATTCTTAGAGATCCTAGATTCTTAGAGATCCTAGATTCTTAGAGATCCTAGATTCTTAGAGATCCTAGATTCTTAGAGATCCTAGATTCTTAGAGATCCTAGATTCTTAGAGATCCTAGATTCTTAGAGATCCTAGATTCTTAGAGATCCTAGATTCTTAGAGATCCTAGATTCTTAGAGATCCTAGATTCTTAGAGATCCTAGATTCTTAGAGATCCTAGATTCTTAGAGATCCTAGATTCTTAGAGATCCTAGATTCTTAGAGATCCTAGATTCTTAGAGATCCTAGATTCTTAGAGATCCTAGATTCTTAGAGATCCTAGATTCTTAGAGATCCTAGATTCTTAGAGATCCTAGATTCTTAGAGATCCTAGATTCTTAGAGATCCTAGATTCTTAGAGATCCTAGATTCTTAGAGATCCTAGATTCTTAGAGATCCTAGATTCTTAGAGATCCTAGATTCTTAGAGATCCTAGATTCTTAGAGATCCTAGATTCTTAGAGATCCTAGATTCTTAGAGATCCTAGATTCTTAGAGATCCTAGATTCTTAGAGATCCTAGATTCTTAGAGATCCTAGATTCTTAGAGATCCTAGATTCTTAGAGATCCTAGATTCTTAGAGATCCTAGAGCTCAGGCTGCAGATCTACATGGTGCATTTGAAGCGGAAGCCAAACTTCTACATCTATGAATTCCCTGCTTTTTGCTCACGCTTCTCTCGGTAAGCGGCTGCTTTTGGACGGCGAATCTGAAAGAAGAGCAGCTGGCTAAGGTTAGGAAAATGTGTTTCTTTTTTTGAAACTTTTGCTTTTTTATAGGGTGACTCTTAATTATAGCTGCAGATAAAAAGCTTTATAGGTAGACAAAATTAAACTTTATAGAGCAAAACTTTTGTTTTAAAATCTTTATTTGATATCAATGAACAAAAAAAATTAGCAAATTAGCAATTAAATTTAAAGCGATCACCATTTTTAAATCGAGCACGCTGTCAAGCGTTTAGGTGTTTAAGAAAGGCGTCAAGTGGCGATCAAGTAAGTATCATCGAGTTCTCAGGCTTTCAGAAGACTTTTCTTCAAACTTTTAAGATTTGATGCGGTTTTGAGAAGGCTTTTGCCTCAAGAACGAACCAGAAAGAATAATCTATCGGATCAAGCTGGGTTTGAACAAACATTGTGCGTATTCTCAGTAATGTTTATTGCAATAGAAATGAAAACAAAATAAGCTTTTGATCGCTAAGTGGTCATCACGGTGACAGTGAGAAAATCGCCGTTGGGAGCGACGACGGTGCAGTCGATGGAATTCGGTGTTGCTCCAGCTGTGCAAAGCCTCTACAATTGCATTTTGATGCGCTTACACTTTGTCCCTATTTTTCTTCTTGTTCTTTTTTTTTGCATTAATTATTTGACTTCAGAAAATGTCCGAGTTTATTCTTTGTACAGAAGAAGTAGCGGTTACAGTACAGTAGGGTTTTTTTTAAAAGTTTAATCACCGGTACTTGTCCAAGCGGGCAGTAGAGTGATTGACAGGTACCGATTTGCTGAAAAACGTTGATAGATTCCTGTGTGTTTATGCTAAAACCTGTTGTTGAAGAGTTGTTGATGGAGAGAGAAGTGAGGATAGAGAAGGCAGTTGCAAAGGACCACAGCACACCTGAAAACCATAATTTGTTAGCATTTAATTCTCAAAATACCTGTCCAAGTGAGCATTGCAACTGGCCATAGCAGGGAATCCCATTCTAAAAGGACTTTTTCAAAGCAAATCTTAAGAACTACTTGTGTCAATGGATTTCCGCCGATTTGGCCTGGTTGTGCCCCATTGTATGGGTTGACCAGTTGAGCATCGGCAAAGTTAAGCTGAAACTTTAGTTGTTTAGGACTCTAGTTGTTTAGGACTTTAGTTGTTTGGGACTTTAGTTGTTTAGAACTTTAGTTGTTTAGAGCTTTAGTTGTTTAGAAATGTACCGAATAGACATGGTTCTTGGTCCAGATCTGACCAGACCAGTCAAATTTCGCTTGTCCTAGGCCTGGAACCAGATCGAAGCCGAATCGGAACAAACCAAAATGTACTTACTTAGACCATGTCTTGTACAGACTTTGAAAAGTGAATAAACCTATTCTAGGGTAACGGATGATTGCAGTACTCATCAAGACTATTCAATAGTCTTGAACCTCGGATTAAACTGAACCTCGAGTTAAACTGAAGGCTTTGATTGAAACTCTCACTGTCACTAAACTGTTTAAACTGAACCCTCACCGAAAACGAGTTATATAAAGTAAACAATGACTCACTGCCTAATAAACGAGCTCTATAAAGGAATTCTTTGACTTCAAGATGTTCCCGATTGACTCACCAGGGCAATTAAGGCAATAAGACGGGAAAGCATTGTGAATAAGAATGTTCTGCTATGTCCATTGCTAAATTTTCTCGTACAAATACCCAGCAATGTTTTCAGTTTATGTTTTTGTATCATATTTGCGAACAAATAAAAGTAGCTAAGTCTGATTCAATTTTTTTGTTCAAAAATGGCATCAAAACAACAACTGTGCAAACATTGATGAACGAGATTGATGTACACAAAAATTCTAATAATGATTAGGTAATTGTTTTTGGTATGTTAATCAAGTTTACTCCAGAGGGACGACCTGTTTCTAACTCTGACTAAAATGTTTCTAACTCTGACTGACTGACTCTAACTGAGCTTTAACTGTTTCTAACTCTAACTGAGCCCTTAACAAATTTTTTGCGAAACGTTCTCTATTAGGAAAGTGGCCAGTGGAAAGTGACAATGAAAACGACTTGATGAAATGTTATGAAAATTTTTCGATCTGAATAACTTTTCATTCTTTATCTTTTGTCTTTTGACATCAAAATAGGTTCCTGTGACAAAAAGTGCTCAAATCAGAACTTTGAGTTTAATCGTTGACTGCTCGACTTGCTCGACTTGCTCGACTTGCTCGACTTGCTCGACTTGCTCGACTTGCTCGACTTGCTCGACTTTACACCTTTACACAAAAGTGCTCAAATCAGAACTTTGAGTTTAATCGTTGACTCCTCGACTCCTCGACTTCTCGACTCCTCGACTCCTCGACTCCTCGACTTGCTCGACTTGCTCGACTTGCTCGACTCCTCGACTTTACATCTTTAAAAAATCCACTAACGCGAGTTTTTCTGAATTTCTCTAAGGACAATTTGTCAATAAATAGTAAGACTTTTTGATAAAAGAAATCATAGATAGATTAGTTCATTATTTATTTCAAAAAGTAGTCTTTAAAAAAGCGGACAGGATTTTCGAGTGAACCTGATAACTCGAAAAAGGCTAAGTGATCACTTGTGTCGTAATTCTCGGCATAGCTATCGACGTAAGATAAAGAAGAGAATCGTAAGATAATCTTCTCAAAGATATCTTCTATCTTCTGTAATACCTTCTATCTTCTATGATATCTTCTGTCGCAAAAGATATCATCTGTCTTCTATGATGTCTTCTATCTCAAAGATATCTTCTATCTTCTGTACTATCTTCTGTACTATCTTCTGTACTATCTTCTGTCCTATCTTCTATCTTCTATAATACCTTCTTTCCCAGATATCTTCACAAAACGCCTATCTTTGTTTTATTCAGAAATTTTAAGAAAAAAACAATAACTTTGTATTGACAACCGGTTTTTATAGAATTTTGAGATCCTTTTATTATCTATTTTAGTTATTCGGAATTATTTAGATGCGCTTTTGTTATTTTAGGATTGAGAGCATTGCAGACACCTACGAGCCTTGGAGATCTGGATAAGAACATTATATTCATTTTTATTTCTATCCATTCTTTGCATGCCCCTGTATATTCTTTTTATTGTTTTACGTGATCAAGTAAAGTTGATAAATCAATGAAAAGATCTTTTAGCTTGAAAAGCTCTTCATTCTTATCGCTTCCAAACCAAACGGCAAGAATTCAAGCCAAAAACTGAAAACAACTGACCTCTAGAACATTGAACAGCTCAAATTCGGAATATTTCGTTTATCAGTGGCTTTCTCGTTGGTTTCTCATGGCGGTGATAACTTTTTGCCAACCGATTTTGTATAGGAATTTTCAAAAGCCTTCAAAAGCCTTATCAATTTTTCTCTAGTTCATTTCTTGAAACACTAGACTATTTGTATGGTTTATATGGATCTAATATAATATCTAATATAATATAGTAATAATAATATAGTTTTTTAATAGCTTGAAACCTTTTTATCCATATATCTTCACACTTTTAAAATTTAAGTTTATGAGACTTGGGCTGTTGTTGGCAATCTGGGTGGCGACGGGAAGTGGATGCTCGTGGGATGTAAGTCTGAGAGTCTGAGAGTCTGAGAGTCTGAGAGTCTGAGAGTCCGAGAGTCTGAGAGTCTGAGTCTGAGTCTGAGAGTCTGAGAGTAAGAAAGCCTCAGAGTCTTAGAGTAAGAAAGCCTCAGAATCTGAGAGTAAGAAAGCCTCAGAGTTTCACGTTAAATTTTATTTTGTATTATTTTATTTTGTATTACTTTACTTTGTTGTACAGAAAACGTTCTCAGTGCGGTTTTCAAGCTGCTATTTCTGATCAGCAGCAGCTCTGTCGCCAGTTAGAGTTACCTCTAAACATTCTAACAATTACAAATATCAAAGTGCAAGCTTTAAGAAATCTATTTTCTGTGCAAGCACCTATTTTACCCCATTGACACCAATTAGCACCAAAACCAAAAAACAAACTTATCAAAGATGACTTTAGAATTGCAACCCGATCTCTAGCGATTCGAACGTGCTAAACATTCACTTGGTGTGCCACAGTCATGATGATCTTGGGTGGTTGAAAACCGTCGATCAATACTATGAAAGCGGTTTCGATTCAGATGAATATAATGAGTAAATCAAATGGCTTTAGAAGTCCAATTCATCTATGACACCGTGCTACAAGAGGTTGAGAAGGATCCAACAAGAAAGTTTGTGGCTTTTGGCTTTGGCTTTAGCTTAGGCTTTGGCTTTGGCTTTGGCTTTGGCTTTGGCTTTGGCTTTTGGCCTTGGCTTTGGCTTGGCTTTTGGCTTTGGCTTTGGCTTTGGCTTTGGCTTTGGCTTTGGCTTTGGCTTTGGCTAAAACCTGAATAACCTTTAATATTAATGACTGCAATATATAAGCTTTTAAGCAAGTACTAAAGATTACTATAGACTCTCCTTTGCTAATTACTCTAGATTCTCTTTTGCCGAGACGGGCTTCTTCATGCGATGGGTGGAAAGCCGAAACGCAAGTATGCTTCAACGATGGCAAAAGCTCGTTCAAAGTGGTAAGTAGGCAGAAAAAGGGCATTTTGAAGAACGATTCTTATTCTTTTTCTAATTTTCTTTCAAAATTCAAATAACTAATTACAGGTCAAGTCGAGGCGATCGGCGGTGGATGGGTGCAAAATGATGAGGCTGCCGCTCACTATGTGGACATCATCGATCAAATGACTTTGGGGTGAACATCTAGTCATTCTTTAAGCTTTTTATAACCGTAACCGTACAGTAAACTAACAAGGAAAGGTCAAGTGGGCAAAGTGGTCAAACGAACCATATACGATTCGATGCAGAATTATTCGCTGATTCCGAATCTGCTTTACGTTTCTGCTATGGAGGACTCTGTGTTAAGATATAAGCGTGCAAGTTTTGTATGGGATTTCAAAAATCATTCCTTGAGCTTAGAAGCAGATTTTCCAGAGTCTTTAAGAAGCAGTGGTGGACGAGTGGTATAGTCGGCTAGAATGCAAGGCAAACCCTCTCGGGCTCGAGTCCGCACAATGCTTGAGTCCGCACAATGCTTGAGTCCGCACAATGCTTGAGTCCGCACAATGCTTGAGTCCGCACAATGCTTGAGTCCGCACAATGCTTGAGTCCGCACAATGCTTGAGTCCGCACAATTCGCGTACAATGTCGCGAAAATTTGAAGTTTTAGATTTTAATGATTATTGTTTAGTGTTAATATTTAAAAGTAAACATTTGTCTGAGAAGTAGTTTGAAAAAGACTTTTATTTGAAATGGAGATCATTTACCTCTAAAAAAGCAAAAGAAAATGAAGCTGCGGACTCGAACCCGAGAGGGTTTGCCTTGCATTCTAGCCGACTATACCACTCGTCTACCACTGCTTCTTAAAGACTCTGGCAAATCTGCTTCTAAACTCAAGGGATAGTTTTTGAAATCCCATACAAAACTTTGCACGCTTATATCTTTTGACAGAGTACTCCATAGCAGAAACGGAAAGCAGATTCGGAAACAGCGAAAAATTCTGCATCGAATAATATATGGCTCGTTTGACCACCTTGCCCACTTGACCACCTCGCCAGCTTGACCTTAAGTAAACTAACGAATCCGTGAAAATCGTTAGAAAACAAGAAGGAAATTTCATTCTCTGTACCTAATCGGCAAATCGATCCATTCCATTCTCTGTACCTAATCTGCAAATCGATCCATTCCATTCTTTGTACCTAATCGGCAAATCGATCCATTCCATTCTTTGTACCTAATCGGCAAATCGATCCATTCCATTCTCTGTAACTAATCGGCAAATCGATCCATTTCATTCTTTGTACCTAATCGGCAAATCGATCCATTCCATTCTCTGTACCTAATCAGCTCAGAGACAGACTGGTCACTTTTTAGACTAAAAGTTTGAATTGAAAACATGTATGTAAATATTTTGTATTTAATTTTTTTACAGTTATGAACATCTAAAATCCCTCTTCGGTGAGTGTGGAGCACCGCAAGCCGCTTGGCAAATCGATCCATTTGGTCACAGTCGAGAGTTCGCTAATTTGGTAGCTCAAGTCAGTAAGATTTATTTCAATTTCAAAATAATCTAAAAAATAACATACAATTCTTCACAAATTATTCAGATGAATATGACTTCTTTGTGGTTTGCGCGAATCCATTACCTCGACAGTCAACAACGGCACACACAAAAGAACATTGAGTTTAATTGGGTCGGAAACGATGAGCAAAGTCAGTCAGTTGGCTAGTAGGCTAGTAGGCTAGTAGGCTAGTTGGCTAGTTGGCTAGGAGGCTAGTTGGCTAGTTGGCTAGTAGGCTAGTTGGCTAGTAGTCAGTAGTCAGTATTTCGAAATAAGAAAATTTAACTCTACAATAGTATTTAGGAAATACAATTCTCACCGGAGTTTTCTACGCTCATTTATATACGCCACCAGAAGGCTTTTGCTTTGATTCAAGCTGTAACGATGAAGAGTTGACAGTAAGAGACTGAGATTGAAATGGGAAAACATAATTTATATTTAATCTATGTAATCTATGTAATCTATGTAACTTATAATATGTTTATTAAGATTTTAGCTTTTATTAAGATTTTAGACGTTATTAAGACTTAAACTTTTCTGATAAATAGCCTAAAAAACAAAGAACTAAATAGGAACTAATTAGGAACTAAATGGGAACTAAATAGGAACTAAATAGGATCTAAATAGGATCTAAATAGGAGCTATAAAGGAACCAAATAGGAACTATCAAGGAACCAAATCGGAACCATAAAGGAACCAAATAGGAAGTAAATAGGAACTAAATAGGAACTAGAAAGGAACCAAAGAGGAACTATAACGGAACCAAATAGGAACTACAAAGGGACCAAACAGGAACCAAATAGGAACTATAAAGCAACCAAATAGGAACTATAACAAACAACAAACAAACAACAAACAAATTCAGGATGCGAATATCGCGCGACGAGCTCTTCGTTTTGTCGAAGAGATGAGATTGCGAGTTGGTTCTTTTCATTTAGTCATTGATCTTTTTGATAACTATCTCCTTACAATCAATATTATCTATTGTGATTCTTTTATTTCTAGGCACCACACTACAAAACAAACAACTTGCTGCTCACGATGGGCAGTGATTTTCAATATCAAAAAGCCGACAAATGGTACCGAAATCTCGACAAACTCATTGCATATTTCAATGCAAATGTATGTACTTTTAACTTATCAGATATCAGATATCAGATAGCAGAATATCAAATATCAGAATATCAGATTCTTTTTGAACAAAGTCTTTTGTTTTTAGCCGAGTTTTGGATTAAATCTTCAATATTCGACACCGGCTTGCTATGCGAATGCTCTCCGATCAGCGAACCCGATTCTGCAAGCAAAACAGGACGACTTTTTCCCGTTTGTAATAAATAAGCTTACAGTTATAAGTAAAATATTTCTTATATTATTAATTATAATATTTTTAAGTATCAATTTGCTTTCATTCTTTCTTAGATATGCCTCCGATACACACAGCTTTTGGACCGGTTATTTCACTTCCCGACCGGCTTTCAAGGGAATGATTCGCCAGGCTAGCTCGTATCTTAATGTAAGTGAGATGTAAATCTAAATCTATAAATTTGGAAAGTAGCCTTAACTTGTAACTTGTTGAATTCTTTAGTTGGGCAAACAGCTCAGCGCTCACTTCAATTTGAACCAAGATGCCGCCCTCGAGACGGCAAAAAGAGCTAGCGGACTTGTGCAACACCATGATGGAGTGAGGTAAATGGAAGAAGAAGAAGAAGAAGAAGAGGAAGGAGAAGGAGAAGAAGAAGAAGAAGAAGAAGAAGTTTTATTTTTAGTGGCACCGCTAAGCAAGTTGTAACATACGATTATCAACAACGACTGGACAAAGGAATTCGTCAGCTTGAGGTTAGATGACTTTTGTAGAGACTAATAGAGATAGAATAGTAGTGACTTTCTCTACAATATACAATAGACAATATCTCTACTGACGAATTGACGAGAGAATTTCAGATTCTTGTCAACGATGCGTTGAACAAAGCCTCTGGAGTCGCCCCACCCCAGTACACTTTGTGTCTTTTGAGTAACGAGACTGTTTGTGATGTAAGCCAGTGGGTTTTTTTTGAATAGCTGAATAGCAAATCAGCTACATACTTCAGAAAAACCGGAAGCTATGCAGTTTCCGTTTTCAATCCGATTGGAAAAACGGTAAACTCCTATATTCGAATCCCGTTCTTCCACTCAATTGCCTCCGTCGCTGATGATACGGGAAATGCGATTAAAGTCCAGGTGGGCAACTAAATCACAAATCAAATATGATACAATCAAAGTCTTAAGACAAAACTTTGTTTCCGATTGGACAAACGGTAAACTCCTATATTCGAATTCAAGGTTGTGCCAACTTTCTCGATTCCGCCATTGGCTTCATCGAGCTCGGCTCCTTGCGAACTCCACGTTCCCGTAAAGCTTGATCCAGCTGGATATCGAACATATTTTGTGTCCGGAAGTGGATTGTCAAGGTGATTGAAAGTTTCGTTAAGTCAAAACGAGATTTTAGTTCACTTGGAGAAGTGGCTTACCCAGAAAAAGTGATTCATCCGAGTGAAGCTGATACAGTGTCTATCGAGAATGAGGTGAGCATAGAAATCATAGAAATCATAGAAATAGAAAGATTTCTTATAAGAATCAGAAAATTCTCGTTAGAAATTTGCGATTTTCAACTAGATAGGCCACTGGCCACTAGATAAGCCACTGGTCACTAGATAGGCCACTGTCCACTAGATAGGCCACTGTCCACTAGATAGGCCACTGGCCACTAGATAAGCCACTGGTCACTAGATAGGCCACTGTCCACTAGATAGGCCACTGGTCACTAGATAGGCCACTGGCCACTAGATAAGCCACTGGTCACTAGATAGGCCACTGGTCACTAGATAGGCCACTGGCCACTAGATAGGGCACTGAAACTAGATAGGGCACTGAAACTAGATAGGCCACTGGCCACTAAATAGGCCACTGGCCACTAGATAGGCCACTGGCCACTAGATAAGCCACTGCTAAGTTAGAAATTCGTTTAAAAACTGCAACAAACCAGCAAGCTTCCAGTACGTGAGCCTTCAATTCGATGCAAATGGTTACTTGACATCGGTGTTGAACAAAACCTCGGGAATCAAGCGCAATTTGAGGCAGGAGTTTCTTTACTATGAGGCAAATCATAAACCATAAAACAAAAACTTTTGCTTGATGTAGAGCAGTGCAGATCCCGCGCAATCCTCTGGTGCCTACATTTTCCGTCCAGCTGCTCAAACAACAAATCCTTTGAGCACAACGGTCATCAACACGATTGTTAAGGTTAGTTTGGATTTAAGAATGGTTTTGAGATTAGATCTGGCTCTGGATTAGATCTGGAATACTTGAATGGATTTCTCTAGATATTGAGAGTGAGATAGAGAAAAGAGTTATTTCTTCAAAAGGATTTCAGGATTCTTCAAAAGAGTATCCTGTATCTTCTATAATTTAGCTGAACTGATTTCCCTTATTGTTGGCATTTATAATATCTTTATGATGTTGAGATTTTCTTTATAGGGTACTTTGGTGCAAGAAGTGCGACAAAAAATCTCTGATTGGGCCTATCAAACAATTCGACTTTACGGCGGACAACCACAAATCGAGTTTGATTGGGTCATTGGGCCAATTCCCAAAGAATCTAGGCTAGTTTTTAGAGAAAAACAACCTTCCTTCTTTCTTTCTTTCTTTCTCTCTTCCTCCTTTTCTTTCCCTCTTTCTCCTGACAAGTTGCCGAATAGCTCAGTGGTCAATTGCTCGGAATGCAAAAGGCCGAGGGTTCTTTCCCTTCTTTCCTTCTTTCCTTCCTTCTTCCTTTCTTTCCTTCTTCCTTTCTTCCTTGCTTCCTCCTTTTCTTTCCCTCTTTCTATTGGCAAGTTCCCGAATAGCTCAGTGGGCAATTGCTCGGAATGCAAAAGGTCGAGGGTTCAATCCGAAATTCAAAACCGAAAATCTACATTTACTTGCCAATTCCTTCAATTCTTTATTACTAACTCTAAAAAATTGTACAAACTTTGAGTTTAGCAAGCCAATCGGAAAAGAGATTATCACTCGTTATACAACGGATATCAACAACAATAATTTTTTCTATACGGATTCGAGTGGACGACAAGTGCTCAAAAGAACGTGAGGTTTTCAAGTTTTCAAAAGGTTTTCAAAAGTTTTCAAATAAGAAACTATCATTTATAATGCAAAGGTTAGTAATTAAAGTCTAAATTCTTGAATCCAATCAACTTGAATTCAAAAGTCTTGAATCCAAAAGTCTTGGATCAAGTCTTGAATCCAAAGGTCTTGGATCGAAAGGTTTGAATCCAAAAGTCTTGAATCCAAGAATCTTGAATCCAAAAGTCTTGAATCCAAAAGCCTTGAATCCAAAAGTCTTGGATCAAGTCTTGAATCCAAGAATCTTGAATCCAAAAGTCTTGAATCCAAAGGTCTTGAATCGAAAGGTTTGAATCCAAAAGTCTTGAATCCAAGAATCTTGAATCCAAAAGTCTTGAATCCAAGAATCTTGAATCCAAAAGTCTTGAATCCAAAGGTCTTGAATCGAAAGGTTTGAATCCAAAAGCCTTGAATCCAAAAGTCTTGAATCCAGTCTTGGATCCAAGAATGTGAATGTCTTGAATTCAAAAGCAAATCTCTAGATGGGATTTCTATCCCCAATTTCAATACGCGGACACGGAACCAATTTCCGGCAACTATTATCCAGTGACCAATCGAATCTATATGAAAGATCAGACCAATCAGCTCACCGTTCTCACCGATCGTGCCCAAGGAGGAACAGTCAAGAATGGTGCTCTCGAGTTGATGGTATAAACAATTTCAATAGAAAATTTCAATTTCATTTTATTTTTCTTTATTTTATTATTTATTTATTTTATTTTCTCTTGTTTTATGGACCTTATTTTACGTTTTTTTTAGCTACATCGTCGTTGCTTCCACGACGACCATTTCGGAGTGAATGAAGCTTTGGATGAGCCGGGAAAAGACGGGAAAGGATTGGTCGTTCGTGGCCAACACTGGCTGCTTCTTGACGACCCGAGTGTTGGTGACTTTAATAGATCAAAACTGTTTTAAGCATTAAAACCAAAAAAGCTATGCCAAGCAATGTTTCAGTCTCACCGGAAAGCTTACTTTTCACCGTTTAATTAAAATTTTGCTTTGAATCCGCTTTTGGCCTTCAGCTAGATCTGTTTTTTTTTCGTTAAAATCGGCTCCAACTCCCTTGTTGAGCTCTTCAGCCAAATAAAGTTGAATTTGTTGTTGAGGCGTTCCAGAAAGGGAACGAGTTGCTCCTTTTGAACAAGATTCCTTCTATTCTGCAATTTTCGACATGAAAAGCTTAAAAAGCCATCCGGTCGCTCTCCGGTCCATTTTACTCGTTTTTTTGTCTTGTCGGTTTGACCGCTTTATCGTAACAAAGCTCTTCAGCCAAATAAAGTTGAGGCGTTCCAGAAAGAGAACGAGTTGAACAAGATTCCTTGATTCCTTTTGAACAAGATTCATTTTATTCTGCACTTTTCGGCATGAAAAGCTTAAAAAGCCATCCGGTCGCTCTTCGATCCATTTTGCTCGTTTTTTTGTCTTGTCGGTTTGAACGCTTCATCGTAACTAAAAATTTAAATATTTAGTAAGATTAAAAAAACGTAAAAAGAAGTAGAAACGACAAGATCAAATGAGTTTAGAGTGCCTTTTACTCCATTACAACATTTTCTATGAATTTTAATCGAATAGTATGCTAATTTCTGCTTCAGATCGCGGCCTCAACTCACCGTCAGCTCGCTGTCAATCTTTTCCATCGACCCATTCCCGTTTACGCGACTGTTGACGATCCTGTTTCGTATCGAAAAACGTTCAAGACTCGAGTAAGTATTTTCTACAAATAACAGTCAGTTAAGTTGAACTTTAGTTGAACTTTAGTTGAACTTTAGTTAAGTTGAACTTGAGTTGGGTTGAACTTTAGTTGAACTTGAGTTAAGTTGGTCTTCAGTTAAGTTGGTCTTCAGTTAAGTTGGACTTTAGTTGAACTTGAGTTAAGTTGAACTTGAGTTAAGTTGATCTTCAGTTAAGTTGGACTTTAGTTAAGTTGGCCTTCAGTTAAGTTGAACTTCAGCTAAGTTGAACTTTAGTTAAGTTGAACTTCAGCTAAGCTTCTCTTGAAACTCTCAACTAATTTTTGCAGTTCGCCGGCTTGAAGCAAGATCTACCCGCTAATATCAATTTGTTGTCATTGGAAAAGAGAGGAAACGAGATCTTGTTGAGATTGGAGCACATCTTTCAAGCAAACGAGGATGGAACTCTTTCACAACCGGTCACTCTCGATTTTTCGGTAATTTGTGATTTTCAAGCAAGAACTTGTAAGCGATCTAGTAAAAAAGTAGAAGATATAAGAAATTTGCTTTTCTAAAGCCTAAGCTCTTGTGTAAGTAATGCTGATTTTATTGATTTGATTTCAATTAAAATGTCAAATTCAGAATCTCTTTGCCGGTTTCTCGATTAAATCGGTTCAAGAGTTGCTCTTGGGAGCCAATAAGAATACGACAGGAACATGTGAGTTTCAAATAAATCTCTAGTTTCAAATAAAAGAAAACAAATGTCTTTTTTCTTCAATTAAACTATTTTCAGCTACTTCTGTGACCTTGAAAGCCCAAGAAATTCGAACTTTTTCGCTCAAAATCACTCCATCGTCGAACTTTTAAATCAATTGTATAAAGTTTATTGATTAAATATTACTATCAAATAAATTTATTCAAATATAAATGAGGGTAAAGATTTCAAAATTGTTTTATAAACGTTTCTCTTGGCTAAGGTGCGTTGTAAAATGATAGGACCACCCCTAAATTTTACTTTTTTGCCTACGAAATTTAATAACGCGAAATAGCTTTTAAATCCTAGGAATATATACAAAAATAAGCATCTATTTTTAACGTTATCTGAACAAATTGGAACAAAATTATAACAATTTCTTTATTTAACACCTTTTGAAAAATGATAGGATCACATAAAAAATAACAATAAATTTGAGAATAAACAAAAGAAAAGTTCATTAATAATCAATAGATGCCCCCTTTTCTCGATGACGTTGAGTAGTCGACTTTTCATCGAGTTCACTAAGTTTTGAAGCGTTTGTGGTGGAATTGACGTCCAAGCTTGCAAAATTGCTTTTTTGAGTTGCGACATCGTGTCGTAAGTCTTTCCATTAGCATAAATATTCCACACGAGGATGCCCCATAAGTTTTTCATTGGATTTAAGTCCGGTGAGCAGGCAGGCCATTCGAGAAAATCGATGTTGTGATGTTCCGGAAAATTTTAGTTATTTAAAATTAAAAATCGCAAAAATCGAGAATGGTCCTATCATTTTGCAACGCACTGTATTATGCTATTTTCTACATGCAAAACAAATTGCAAATGGGAATTGCTCAGAAATGGCATCAGAAATGGTTTTGATTGCTAATTTTAATGCAATTGCTTATGAAATTCGCAAAACTTTAAACATTTATTAAACAAATTAGCAATCAATACCATTTCTGATGCCATTTCTGAGCATTCCCATTTGTTTTGCATGTAGAAAATTGCATAATAACTAAGGGCAGCTCGATGAACGTTATCCGTTTGTAAACCTTGTTTGCTTTTGCACTTGTAAAATCTCTTTAATCTCTTAAAAGTAATACAAAAACATGCAAAAAACACATATTTGTAATTTAAAATACAAAACGGGATAAGGTATAGGTCATAAAATAAAGTTAGCAGAAATTTTGGCGCTCCCTATAAGTAGAGAAACTAAATAATGATCGAGCTATCACTTTCCATAACAACCGCAATAATAATATGGGCGATAAGTTGGTTGAGAGACATAATAAGGCACATAAACATTATAGGGTAAGTAGCGAGTCTGAACGTAGACTCGAGGACGGCTGCGTCGTCGCGGTGGAGGCACCCACACCCACGAACGGGTGGGCCGTTGAACGGGTCGTTGAGGGGGTTGAGAGGCCAGCAGTTGCATGAAGTTTGAGGATGCGTTTTCTTCTAAACAACTATACAAATGGGTAGTTGATCGATAGATTAGTCTGTTCTTGTTGGATACTAGACCTGTCCCCACGAATCGAATCGAATCAATTCGATTAATGCTAATAAAAGCAAACCCGCAAGAATCACGGTGAACGACATGCAAATGACGACCAAAAAGAAATTCATTGTAACAAAAAGGTTGTGGTTGATGTGAAAAGTTCTGGTCTAATAAACTTTCTTTCAAAAACCTAAAAGGATACGGTTTTTGGCGCTTTCAAGGCCACACCCAATGTTGCGGACTTCCCGATAAGTTTGTCTTTATCAATCTTTATCTATCAACCTTTTAGATTCCAGTAACTAGTAAACTTTCACTTTTTGATTAGCTTCTTTTCGTTTGACCTTTGGTTTTGGCAATATAAGCTCAAGTTGCCTTATTTTGGTGTGTTTAATCAAGACCAAATATTGATCATTTTTCAGAAGAGAGTGAAATGGGTTGGTTGACAAATTGCGTACTTATTTACTTTTACCATGGTTAACATTTATTTAAATTCTCTAATAAAAGTCATGAGATTTCCATTGTTTTCGACTTTTTATCGTAATCACGTTGTTGAAGAATGTAAAAACTTTTCTGGATTACACAAACACAAAGAAAAATAACCAAATTTTGATCGAATGCCACCATTCCAATTTTTTGTAATATGTTCAAGAATCAAAGTAATCTTTTATTTTACATTGTGCAAAAAGAAATAGGTAGGTAAAGTTTGAATGACTTTATGTTTTTTCACCAAGATGACCACCAAGATGACTCACACGTGCAAATTTGTGTGTACCAATAGCGGCGAAGACGACTCACAATCGAATCTTCTGGGAAATCGCCTATCCTCTGGCCGTTAGGGTCTAAAATTCAAACATCAACAAAGCTTTTGCTAAGTTTGCTAAGTCAGGTTTCCTTATCGTAAATTAGAAACTTTAATATATGTAACTTAAAGCAACAATATGTAAATATAAATAAGCCTATAATATTAAATAAATAAGCCTAAGTCTGAGCTTAAAGCCATACCTGGAATCGGTAGTGCTGTGAGGATGGTCAGAGTCGAGAGCACCACAATCAAGAAGAGAATTTGGGAGGAGTTCATTTTTGAAAATGAAAAGTTGATTCATTACTGTCCCCAACGTTTTTATAGTCAATTCTTATCAAAGTTCGCCGAATTGAGCTTCTAGAGCTTTGTACGGGTTCCCGGAATTGTGCTTCTTTTTTTTTGCCAACTTTATCCACGCCAGCAAGGCCGCTGCCCTTTTTTGCCCGATCTTTTTGTTGATCTTTAAGAAAGGAAATTAAATGTCTACTGTATCTTTTGGGTTCTCTTTCTCTCAAGGCTACTCTAGGAAGCTTACAGTTCTGAGAACTAAAAATTAATTGATCCGTTTGTATAAAGTTGTTTCATTTCCTTGCTTGGCTATCAACACTTGGATAAAATGATTCCAGAGATTTCGTTGAGGTAGGCTGAGGAATTTTTTTAAAGGTTTTTCCTTTTTATTCCTTTCTTTCTTTTTGCTTCTAAAGTCCAGTTTTGTCATTGTCTCAAAGATTACCTTTGACACGAATACTACTAACAAGGGAAAGGTAACAGTAGAATGTGCCCAATTCTACTGTTGCTTTTACCTTAGAAGTTCGAAGATCGTTATAAAGTAGGTAAATCAGTTACACATCTATTTCCATTTCCAGTATCGATAACCCTTCACCAGAAGATGAGTCAAGAGCAAGCTGCGCGTTTTTCCAATGTGATGACGAGGTTTTTTCTTAACCAAAGAATGATTTAACCATTTTGACTCTTTACTTGTTAATAGAAGACCATGCTTCGTGGAGCGATGAATAGGAATTCAAAAATTGCTTATCATTTTTAATTTACATGTTGTTGGTTCGACTATAGATTACTGTTAGAAATTATTTGAAAGATCAGTGTACAAAAAGCTCTTCGCTCAGCGATCGGCGTTTTCCGTTTTCGGGAAATCTCTAGTCTTTTCCTGAACCGGGCGCATGATTTCTCAATTTTCAATCAAAAAGGCATAGTTAGCCGAGAAACTAGCATTAAAGATCTCTCTCGAGTGTGTCCAAGGTCAGGTAAATGATTCCAGGAAGTATTTATCTGGTCCACCTATCTGATTCAGTTTGAAAACATGAAGGATATAGTTAAATTAGATAATAAAATTGGTTTTAGCAGCTTCATCGGCTACAAATCGTGATTTTCTTTGCCTTCATCGTTTCGTTTGCCGTTACAATCTGGACGTTCACTCGGTGGCCACCGATTTGGAAGGATCGAGAGTGTTTTGTGGAATGATCAAAAGTCTATTCAAATAAATAAAGCATTTTTGGAAAGGCATTTGTTATTCTAATTCAATAAGAGTGATAAGGGACAGTCATTCAGCTGCTTGATGCCATCGTTTAACCATCTCTCTCACTTTCTCACCACGAATCAAGAATGAAAAGAGGTTGACCTTGCCAAGAAAAATGGAAATCATAAGATCAGAGCAAAGGAATATGCATGAAACACATCTTAATCACTTCCTTCACACCATTCAATTTTCAAAAAAAACGAAAAGGGATTTGTCATTGAGAAGAGGCGGCTCGAGTATCAAGCCTCTCCTGCTCAATGGTTGTAACCCAGAATGAACTACCGTAAATACTGTAATGGTACCCCACGCCCCCGTACAGTCGCGTAGTCGCAAAAGTCTTGATACCTAAGCGCGCATTGTAGCATAAACCAGTGTCGAGAAAAACGCGTTCAAAGCTAGACTACGCAACACTCCGCACCGTCATTATGGGGATGGGGTACTATCACAATATTTACGGTATGTCTACTGTAGAATGAACTTTGTTTTCATTTTACAAAAAACTTTCTTAAAAGAATCAAACTGAAATGTGATTTGTCGAGATTTTTTATTAAGAAAAGTGTCAAAAATGGAGCTGGAGAGAGCCTTGAGCTCATTCTAGAGCTTGTAAAATGAGTTGTATAACTCCAATCGGAAAGTTCTTTGTAGATAAATAATGCCAAGATGAAGGGCTTTACTTTTCTAAATAACACTTGGCCCTTTGGTAATAAGACAGAGCAACTTTTCGAAAAAAGCGGTCACCCTTTATTGTCGCCTCCTATCATGAGTACAGATTACTCAGCATTCCATTTCCCGAGGGGGACTTTGATATGAAAATTTGGTGTTATCTTCACATTGTAACTGGTGTATAGTGCTGTGAAAAAAAAGTTTGTTTTTAAGTAGCAAAATCAAGAGAAATTTTTCACTAATTGATGTACTCGATTCAATCTTTCTTTGCTTGATTCCAAAGAGCTGGAGCTGATCCGAGCAGTCGTCCCCATCACTGACCATCAATGTGCCCGTTGTGAAAGCGCTACTATTGCTCGCCAAGAAGTAGATCGTTTTTGCAATCTGCAAACAATGACAATAAGAAACGGATCTTTATATTGATCGTTACTAGTACATATTTAAAGGCTGGTAAAATGATTTGTATATCTCCAATCGCAAAACTTTTAATAGTTAAATCTAGCCAAAATTGAGGGCTTCAACCTTTTCTATAACACTAACATTGGGTTGAAGTTGAAGGGAGTTAATCTATTAAAAAGAAGTCGCCGTAAACACTGAAGACTCTGTATTGTCGCTTCATATTGTCGATTATTATAGATTCTATTATAGTACTACAGATTATTCAGCATTGCGTTTCCCGAGGGGGACTTTGAAATGAAATGTTGTCTCGAGATTGTAACTGGTGTATGATACTGTGCAAAAGTTTATTTAAGTAGCAAAATCAAGAGAAATTTTTCACTAATTGATGTACTCGATTCAATCTTTCTTTGCTTGATTCCAAAGAGCTGGAGCTGATCCGAGCAGTCGTCCCCCATCACTGACCATCAATGTGCCCGTTGTGAAAGCGCTACTACTGCTCGCTAAGAAGTAGATCGTTTTTGCAATCTGCAAACAATGACAATAAGAAACCGATCGTTATATTGAAAAAAGCCAATATTGTTTAAAAAATAAGATATATGGTTTCTCACGTTTCTGGTTTCTTTCAGCACCTAACGATTACTAGAAAATAAAATTAACAGTGCTTCTGAGAAGTGCCAAACAATATAAAATGAAGAACAATCTACAATCTAGTTTCTTTTAATATTTATGCTTATTTATGACCGTCCTAGGTCTAAGCCTAAGCCTAATTCTAGACATGGCAGCGATCTGAAATTTTGAAAGGATACTCTTCTTGGGTTCCAAAGCACAAGGGCAATAGCTTGCACCTTAGCTCCGGGAACCGGCTGAGATCCAGAAAATGGGGGCTCAGCCCAAACCCAAATAGACTTAATGCGAGGCGCTAGCCGCTAGCCTTCGCACTAAGCCTAAGCCTAAGCCTAAGCCTAAGCCTAAGCCTAAGCCTAAGTCCAAGCCTAAGCATAAGCCTAAGCCTCAAAGCAATGCCTTCACCCACCTCTTCGGGTGTAGCTGCTCTGCCCAGTGGATTTGTGGCGGCGAGTTGGTCGTATCTCTAAAAGAGAGAGTCGTACAGATAGCCTAATATAATAATTGCCTAATATAGCTCTAAATTTAGAACAAAAAAACAACAACTATACTCACTTCTGCTTTGTTTTCTTGTGTAGCCAAGCCAGCAGCCACCGAGAAATCAGTCATCACCAAGCCCGGACTGAAAAAGATTTTAATCTTTTGCGATTTTCTAGTTGGAATACTGTTTGCCACTTTTTAGTATTAGTTTAAGTGTGCTGTCACTTCACAATTACTTACTATTACTATTACTTACTTGATGCTGTTAACGCGAACTCCTTTTTGAGCCAACTCCAGCGCCAAACTCTTTGTGTACATGTCGAGAGCAACCTTCGACATACAATAAAATGCGCATCCGGGCACCTAGATTAAACAAGTTTTCATCAAATGAGCTTGTAATGAAGAGAGTTTCAAGTTCTCAATCATCTCAACTAACCGGCATCATCGATCCAGCGCTGCTCACATTCACAATGTTTCCTTTGGATGCGATGAGATGTGGAATTGCGAGACGAGTGATTTGATGAAGACTAAATAGAAATAATGATAAATTTAGACTTTAGGCATATCGATGTTTTAAAAGTTTAGTGCTAGAGTCGAACAAAAAATGGAAGAGTTTGTAGGTAGGCTAACCTTCTGACGTTTAGATTAAATTGCTTATCGAAATCCTCAACAGTTGCCGTTGAAAGGGCTCCGAATTGAAGGTAACCAGCGTTGTTGATCTGAAGATATCTGAGTTAAGCAAATTTCCTCAAACATTTACCAAAACATCAATCGATCCAAGTTTATCAACAGTGTTCTTGATAACGGCCTCGGCTGTGCTCGCCTGCGTCAAATCTCCGACCGTGATTACCACCTAGATTTGTCATTTTTGCTGTATTTCTGCAAGTAAATCTATTGTTTACTCTGTTCTCTGTAATATTCTTCAATACGAGATGGTTATGTATTAGATTTACCGCATTTTCTTTGATTCCAGCTGCCACACATTCAGCTTTCGTTTTCTGGAGAGCATCTCCCGAGCGCGCGGTGATCGAAACGGCAAATCCCTGAATTCAGTTTGAGGTTTGGGTTTCGTTTTAAAGCACTCAGTTGATGCAATTTCTTATCTTTAAACTGTAAGAGTACTGCAAAAGACTTTTAGACTTTTAGTGAAATCTCGGATTGTAAAACTGATTGATTTTTACTTTCTATTGGGTTGGTGAATTGAAAACTGCCGGCTATTGTCATATGTGACAGTTTGAGCACTTTCTTCAAAAGAAACCCATTTTGGTGTCAATGGAAAAGTTGTTGAGAATCAAAAATCAAGCTTATATCCAAATTTTCAGAACGATTCAAAACTGGTTTTCAAGAAATGCCAAATTTACGAATTTTCACAAAACTTGCATATTAAGCGAAACTACTAAGTGTAACTTTTTGGAAATTTGGCTATAAGCCTAATTTTTGATTCTCTACAACTTTTCTATTGACACCAAAATGGATTTCTTTTGAAGAAAGTGCTGAAATGCTCAAACTGGGACATCTCCAGTCCTCGATTTTTGAGTCTCACACTTATCTCATACACAAACCAAAATCCTACTGCGAAAGAGGAATCCGCAAATTGCCTGTAAAATGGGCAAAAGTCGTCAATAATAATGGAAACTATTTGGAATGAATTGATGGTTTTAGGTTGAATAAATTTTAGTTCAAAGTCCCGCAGCTTTCAATTCACCAACCCAATATATCCAAACGAACCTTTGACGCAAAATAAACGGCGATAGCTTTTCCGAGACCAGTCGACGCTCCTGAATTGATACAAAATAATTAAATTAATATAGTTTAATATTAAAACAATCTCTTTATTGTGATTATGATTGTCAAAAAAATCGCTGTAGAGTACGCCGTTTTCAGCCAGTCTCAAGCTCAAGCATTTAGCTCAAAAACTATGAAATGACAGATAACAATTTGAATTTAAAGCTTTTTATAAAGTTAAACTAGTTATCAAGAAACAAACCTGTAACCACAGCGACTTTCATGATTCAAATAGTTTCAAAAAGTTGAATAGAGGTTGAATTGAATTGAATTGTGCGAGAAAATGATTCTTAGTTCTTCAGCCTCAATCGCCTTTTATTTGCCGTTCTAGACTCTACCTAGGCTTTTTCTTTTTTATTTCTTTTTCTGTTCCTCTGCTCAAATATTGTGGTTTGTGAAATTTGCAAGAGGATATCTCGGAAATAAGCCTTTTCTGTTGGTTTTTCCCCGCTTTTTGACCACAAACCCCATTTCCAGCGAGTTTTTTCTGTGCAAATAAAGCGATAGAGTGTAGTAAGAGAGAAAATGTTTCAAAATTGAGTTCTGAAAAACACTAGAGGCAAATTTGTCACTTTAAAAAGCCATTATTTGTCTTCTATTTATGAATTCGCTTTCCAATTTGTATTCTTTTGGTGTTTCTAGTGTGAAAAGGTTGAAAATAGGTTGAAAATTCATTCTAAATATTTATTTACCGTATTTCTTCGAATAGAGACCGGGTAAAAGTATCATCGCGTACTCCTGCGTAGCAGCCCTTTTTAAAATTTCTTTTCTGCATAAAAGCTTTCAATGAAGTGCTATAGGGCTGGGAAATGACTCAAAAATACCATATGAGCTAACAGATAACAGATAGCTTCTCAAAGCTGATCAAAGCTAGCGTCTCAAAGCTGATCAAAGCTAGCTTCTCAAAGGTGATCAAAGCTGATCGAAGCTTTTTACTTGGGAAGCTTTGAGAAGCTTTGGGAAGCTTTGAGAAGCTTTGATCAGCTTTGAGAAGCTTTGACAAGCTTCGATCAGCTTTGATCAGCTTCGATCAGCTTTGATCAGCTTTGAGAAGCTATCTGTTACCTGTTAGCTCATGTGGTATTTTTGAGTCATTTCCCAGCCCTATAGCACTTCATTGAAAGCTTTTATGCAGAAAAGAAACTTTAAAAAGGGCTGCTACGCAGGAGTACGCGATGATACTCTTTACCCGGCCTTCTATTCGAAGAAATCCGGTACTTCGGTGTTTAAACGTTTTTTTGGAGAAAAATGTGAAGAGATCTTTGTAAAGATTTTGCCGAGAAGTTGCAAAATTATGATTAAAGTGTTCTCAAATTTTCAAATTGAATCAATTACTTGTTGATTACATAAAAGCCTCAAATTTGATGACCTTGCTGAGTTTTCAACTCATCGAGCTTTATCTTCAATCGAGCTTTATCTTCAAATCGGTAAAACTCATGAAACAAAATCTAAAAGATGAATTCGAAAGACTTTTGAAGCTAATCATAATCTAATTTGTCCTTGTGTTCAATGATGTCTTTGATTTCAATAGGCTCCTAAATTTACAAATAATCAGAGTAGATCCAAAGTGAAACCTTCAAGTAAGCTTGGCATTCATTTCCATTAAAAATCGTGGCTCTTTCTCTGAATCGTGATCTTTTGTCAAAAAAAGTCAGTTTCGTGGTCTTTTGCAATCTTTTGTTTGTTTTTTAACCAAAAAATTTTTGAAAACGGTTTTAACGTATTTTATTAAGTTCCACGTGCACATTGAATCACAATTTAATGAACATTCGTAAGAACAACAATTTTAGCATCAATCAGAAAGACGATTTTGGCTCTTTCCCTGAATCGTGGTCTTTTGAAAGTTTCGTGGTCTTTTGACAAAGTAATAGTAATAGTAATAGTACTAGTAATAGTAATAGTACTAGTATCAGTAATAGTACTAGTAATAGTAATAGTACTAGTAATAGTAATAGTACTAGTACCAGTAATAGTACTAGTACTAGTAATATTAGGTGTGTGAAAAAGTAATCCACGTTTTTAACGTTTAAATATAAAAGACCATAAGTTTCGTTAAAATAATTTTTATTCAACGAAGTAATCACCATTCGAAAGAACAACCTTTTGTCAACTTTCTACAAGTAAAGACATTCCACGATAATAAAAATCTTGGTCCTTGGAGGCGAAGAAAAGATCAACCTCGGTTTGGATATCTTCTTCGGAATTGAACCGTTTATTGGCCAAAAAGTTAGACAGAGACAAAAATAAATAATAATCAGATGGAGAAAGGTCTGAACTATAAGGTGGATATGGTAAAACCTTCCATCCAACACTCTGGATTTTTTGTCGAGTCTGTAAAGAGACATGTGGTCGCGCGTTATCGTTATCCATTTCTCCAACTTTTTGATAAAATTCATGGCATTCAAGCGTTTCCTTACGGTTGACCCATCATAATTTAACGTAAGGCCTATTTCTGAAGAGGTTGAACGAGGGTTTTCGAGAAGATAGCGTCTTATTTGGTCATCAGATAAAAATAAAAAACGTGAATTACTTTTTCACACGCCTAATAGTAATAGTAATAGTAATAGTAATAGTAATAGTAATAGTAATAGTAATAGTAATAGTACTAGTAATAGTACTAGTAATAGTACTAGTAATAGTACTAGTACTAGTAATTTACCCCTAAACAGCTTCCTCAGCTCTTCACTCCACTCATTTTCCAATCGATTCCCTCGATTTATTTTGATGATCATCATCATCCAATTAAATTCAATCAATGTACGGCAAATACATATAAGTAGCGGCATAATAAACCGTATGTTTAGCGCTCAATTGCAATTACGAATTTGCTTTATTTTGCACTCAGCAAATGCGCCTTGATTATGATTTTGTTGATGACAAAATTATCAAATTCAAATATTTCTCTTTGAAATGCTTCAAAATGTGTTTCTTCTTAAAAAAGTATTATATCTTTCAACAAAGGATAAAAATTGTGATTTAAATATCGAATTTTCAGTTCTCATTAGGTTTTAGGTTGTTCACTTTGTTTGTTTTTTGTTTGCTTTTGTTTTTTCTCCAGCTGGCATCAATCAGAAAGACGATTTTGGCTCTTTCCCTGAATCGTGGTCTTTTAAAAGTTTCGTGGTCTTTTTGCAAAAAAGTCCGCTTCGTGGTCTTTTGCAATCTTTTTGTTTATTTTTTACCAAAAAGTCTTTTCAAATTGTTTTAACCTATTTTATTAAGTTCCACATTTAATCAGAATTTAAAGAACAATCCTAGGGAAGGGGATAAGCAGCCTCCATGCGAACCAACCTGCGAGTTTGGCGCTGGAGTTGGCTCAAAAAGGAGCTCGTGTTGTCAAAAAGGAGTTGATGGTGAGTGATGGGAGTCTAATTGGTGTCACCATCAACATCAATTTGCTCGGATCAGCTCCAGCTCTCTGGAATAAAGCGAAGAAAGATTGAATCGAGGACACCAATTAGTGCATTTTTCTTGATTTTTCTACTTAAATAAACTTTTGCAAGGCATCATACACCAGTTACAATATTGAGACAACATTTCATTTCAAAGTCCCTCTCGGGAAACGCAATGCTGAATAATCTGTAGTACTATAATAGAATCTATAATAATCGACAATATGAAGCGACAATACAGAGTCTTCAGTGTTTACGGCGACTTCTTTTTAATAGATTAACTCCCTTCAACTTCAACCCAATGTTAGTGTTATAGAAAAGGTTGAAGCCCTCAATTTTGGCTAGATTTAACTATTAAAAGTTTTGCGATTGGAGATATACAAACCATTTTACAAGCCTTTGAATGAGTACTAGTCGATCCCTCTCCAGCACGCTGACACTTTTGATGATTTGATGACACGCTGACACTTTTGATGATTTTCATTATATTAGCTTGGTAAATATGAAAGGTTATTTTTTTGATCATTTTTAACATAACAGAAAAATTTATTTAAGCACTTTCAAAATCAAATGTATTCACCACAAGCATTAATAACTTCTTTCCAACGTTGCCCCAAATCACGAATACCGTCCTCGTAAAATTAAAGATTTTTAGAGGCAAAATAGTTGGCAACCCAATTTTCGATGTCCTGCTTTTTGTTTGAACTGCTGTCCAGAAACTGCTTGTTTCATTGACCGAAAGAGATGGTAATCCGATGGGGCTAGATCAGGGCTGTATGGTGGGTGTGGAAGAAGTTTCCAGCTCAACTTGTCGATTTGTTCGTGGACGATCTTTGAAATGTGAGGCCTAGCATTGTCGTGAAGAAATCTGACCTTCGATGGATCGATCCTCTTTTTCCTGAATGCTGGATCGACTCGACCCATTTGTTCTGCATAAAGTCTTCCGTCAACAGTGTCTCCTTTATCTAATATTTCCAAATGAGCCAATCCCTTAGCATTCCACCACACACAAAGCATAACTTTTTCGGAGGCTTCGGGATAGAATGAGAGGTCTGCTTCGAACTCAGCCACTGTCCATAGAGTTGAATATTTTCATACGAAAGCCAAGTCTCATCAGATGTCAAAAATACTTCCAAAAGTCACGATGGCTAGCTTTACGTAGAAGAACAGAGCTCAAGGTGACTCGTATGACTTTGTGGGCATCAGTGAGGTCATGGGGGAGCCATTTCCCGCTTCGATATGATTTCCCAAGAACGTGTAAATGGTAACATGAGTGCATCCGAACTTTTCTGCTAATTTTCTACACTTTTGCGATGGATCCAAGTCGACCTCGTTCAGTAACAGCTGATCGTCCAAAGTAATCGGCGGCTTTTCATGTGGTGCATCTTCCAATGACTCGTTTCCCGTTTTGAAGCGATCGTACCAAACACAACATTGTTTGTAAGTAAGAGCAGCTTCTCCAAAAACAGTACAAATGTTCTGATGGCATTCCGTAGCTTTCTTGTTTAACTTGAATTCAAAGAAAATGGCGGCCCTGATTTTAAATTTTTGGTTATCCATCTTTGCCGAGCTGAAACAATACAAATATTATTCAAAACAAAAATGTTTTTGCAAAAAAAACATGAGCACATTTTGACATATTATTGAGAAAAATCCTAGACAGGGAATGTTCTTCGTAACGACAGGGCAATATTTTTTGTAAAAAATAACCTTTCATATTTACCAAGCTAATAAGTTTGACTGTGATCACAATCTCTCCTATTATCTTGTTTTCATTGATGAAACTATGAAAACAATTTGTTTGGAAGGTAATTTGACTCTAAAATGGCATC